TGTTTATATCTGACAGTTAAGGATCACTTAAAAAGCCTTTAAAAGTTAGTAATAGTAAAATGAATGTTATCCACATTGTTGGGTCTTTCCCCAGAACTTGAAGTCCCAAGAGGATGTTGCCCAAGTGATTCCGTCTTAAGTATTTCCCCATCTTCTGGCAGCATTTAATTTCGATTTGCGAAAAATTATCATAAATTAGACTAATTAAAATAAAATGCTGCAATAAATTTCCATCGCAGCCGTTGGCAAGAGACATTCATTTGCTCTAGAATTGATGTAGTCCCAGCCGTTGAGCCGAGCCGCTCACTTTCAAAAGATGTGCACGGTGGCAATCCGGTTCATTGAGTGCGCTTCAATTGCCGAGACATCGACGGAGTCTCAAGACCTGGGACCCCGAGACGTGGCTGCTGCATTCTGGTTCACCTTCGAGAAAAGCACAGCGTTTTCAGCCGTCAGACATTGCCAAACGATCGTCTTTCGTGGCTTAGTTTTTGGCTTTTGAGAGCGAGTTTCGGCGATTGGATTGTGTGAGAAATTCCCTTAATCAGCGCCAGTTGCACTGCACCAGACCACTGAAAATGGGCAAAAGAGTTGCGGTATGGTATGGTTTTCTTGAAAATATTTTATTATCATTAGGCGTTGGTCGTTCCCCCTCTTGCTGGAAATCAGGTTTGGTTTCCCAATTGATTTTTCGGTAATGGGACATTAATCGATCGGAGTAGAATTGTTTTCCTAGTCCCCCACTACACTAAATTTCAATGATTTAACACGCCAAACGTGTGGTAATTTACTCAGTGCGACCTTGACTTTTACCCATTTGAAGGTCCAAGACCAGCAGATCCATCATAATTATCATCATCAGCGGTGGCGGTAACGCTTCTTCTTCTGAAAATTGTTTAATACGTGACGAAAACAATGATCAAGTAATTATGTGGCTTATAAATGTCGGCTTCCCGTCTCCACGAACGATACGATATGACAGTAAACGCATTTTTCTCTCGGCTTTTCCGTTTCCATTCTTTTTTCAGACTTAATGGGCTTAATGTTGTAATTTATTAAATTAGTTTAGAAATGTTTTTATAATCGCCTGCAAAGAGCCATCTTTCATGAAATTACATCAGGGTCTGCGGAGGTTGACCTCTAACTGATCGTTTTTTAACCACTAGTTGTTTATTGTTTGCGGTTAAAATCAATAGAGCATTATGGAAGTACTCTCAATTCTTGAAAGGTATCATATGCATATTTGATTGAGGTGGCTTATAATGAATACTCAAAAAAATCTGTAAACTCAAAATGGTTATTATTCTTGCTTAATGAGCGGTGATTGAAAAATATTTAGCCTTCATATTCCTGAGTTTTCGCTTTTCCTGTCACTAAACAGAGGTATTATTTTAAAAAGATTTTGAAGAGAAGGAATGTTTGAAATAATTCTTATTATGGGAATGTGTTTACATCAATTATTTTAACAGGATGTTTATTAGATAAAATATTTCAGCCAAAAAAACTTTTTATGGTAATAAAATCGTCACTGTTCATGCATCCTGGATAGGTAACAAGTAATCATTTTCTATGTTTATCTGGGTACACCAAGTAGTTCAAGGCTTTCCTCTTGACCAGTTCATTCATCACTTGGTCCATGCCCAGCATCATTTGTCAATTGCAGTTCTCTGCCGGTAACGAAACATCCCCCACCACCCAATAAAAAAATACTGGCAAACAGACCGCAAACATTTGGATAAACGCATTTAGTTCTCATTGTTCTGACTTGGAGTTCGCTGCCCCCTCCAAAAAACTAAAAAAAAGAACAAAATTAAACCGACTTCTCTGCCATTGCACAAAAACAATGCATTTCGGTTTCGGGTTGTTCTCTTTTTATGACTTCGGAACCAGTTGATTATTGTGCAAATAAAAATTCTAATGACGATTTCGGCAACAACAATGCAATTATGCAAAGCCAGAAGAGGAAGGTAATTAAAGGCAGAACAGCAAAAGTTGCTGGAATGATAATTATCACGGCGCTGCAATCAACAATGAATATGCTAAACAGTCCAAGTTCCAAGTTCCAAGTGCCAAGTCGAACGGAGGAGAACATCCTATGGAGCCATGCCACATGGTGGCACATGCCACATCCGCCAGAAGCCGAAAAAAAAGAGCAGAAGATACACCGCCATGATCTATCATCATCACCGGGTCGGTCTTTGTCTCGGATTTGCGCAACTCCACCCCTTCCTTCCTTGGCACTCTCCCACTCTGCCCAAATACCATACATCATCCGAACCCAAGCTGAAAGCTAAAAGGTTTCACTCCACCACAAATTGTGGCAAATTGTCGATGGGTTTTGTAATCAAACCGATGCCAAAGCTCCGCCATTGAATTGTTTTGCCTAACGTTTTGCAGAATCTGCCGCATATGGGTCAAATGCGAATTTGCCTTTGTTTCGCCAAATTGTTTTGTCACTTTCGGATTAATTGAGCACATTTGGCCGCAGTTGAGTTACCCAACGTTGATTGATATTTTTCCACCCTCTTTTCGTTTACTTGCCAGTCATTTCAGTGACTCGATTTAAAGAAATTTGGGTTTACTATTCGGAAATATTTGCCAGTTCACACACGTGACAAATTTGAATTCGTGGAATTACAAAAATATACCTTACAAAGGTTACTGTTGAAAAAAACATATGTGTTTTATAAGTAATCTTACAAAAATATTTTACATTTAATAATTTTTTGCTGTTTTGGGTGTATATAAAATTTAACAGAAATGTAAAAGGTTCAAAAATAGTTCAGATAGTTTTGTAAAATATTGTAAAGTTAACTTTGAATATGATGTAATCCTAAATGTGTTACATAAATGACATAAATTCTAAAAACTTCTTGAAAGTGGTCATGTAATTTTTTGTAGTTTTTTAAAGTTAATATATTTTCTAAATGTGTTGAATGGTTCTTTGATAAATGGCTGACAGATATAAATTTTAAAATCTTTTTGCAAAAGAACCAAGTTAATTTTATGATTTCACAGAACATTAGCCATTTCCTACGACTCTTCCAGTAGCTCCATCGAAAATTGCGACTTTCAATACCATTATGATTTACGAGTGCAATTAGTCATCACCAAAAAATGTGCCAAGAGAATGCCAAGAAGTACTGATTGAATTGCCATTTCATGTCCATACAAATTATGCAGCAGCAAAGTGACAAGAAATACTCGAAATTCGACTCACAACAAACCAAAAAGAAGCTAAAGTGGGAAACAAATCACAACAACAAAGATAGAAAATGCAGTTGGAGATGATTGAAATTAATGGCAGATCCATTCAAAAATATAAAAGAAACTGACTAGAAGGCCAAAAGCGTCTGAACCCTACCTGATCGGATTGCAAAGTTCACAGTGGATGATGATGAGGCTGATAGACAGCGCCTTGGGGGAAATTTCATACAGAAAATGCCATGAATAAAACGAGAGGAGATTACATTGCCCAGATACCGGAGTACTTATGAAGGAGCACTGCCAAATGCCAGTGGAAACATAACGAGGTGCGAACAGGGTCAGCTTTGGTAGCCTTTAGCTAGGTGAACTCAATCGAACGGCTAGTTGGCCAACAGTATCTGGTCCGAAGCAGGTAGGAAAATTGTCAGCAAAGTGCTAAGGCTGACTTCTAAGCTCCCCAAGCTTATAAGACGATCGTAAAAATGTACATATATGTATGTGAAGATCTAGATGAGAGATCATTGGAATTCCTAAAAGAATGTCACATTCATTGTGCAATTGTGGATTTAAGTGTATTTTTAACGATAGCACGGCCCAGAATTCAATCTATGTATCTTTTATCTGTTCTGTTTAACATATATGTTATACACATATACATTTATGTTTTCATTTATATTCATTGCATTGCTTTTGAGCAAACTTCGATACAAATGTCAAGTTTTAGACAACAATTTTATATACTCATCTTTTCCTTGAGCTCATAACGAAAGATAGCCATCTCAAGGCATTTTTTTGGCCAGTCAACAATTGTTGAATATTCAGCATACGTCATGTGGTCCGTTACCCAAGTCTGCAATTCAAGTGGCTCGCTGAGTACTTTTAGTTTTTCCTTTATTTTACATTTTTTATTTGTGTTACTCCGCGGCTACCATTTAAATTGATTTTCGCTTTTATGCCACAAAACTGGAGTAGATTTGGTGGCAAGGTCAGTTGGAGCTCGATGGCTTTGCTGACCATCTGCACAAAGTCGATGATCATGGAGCGAGGATGATGACGTTGACGTCTCAACTCTCAGAACAAACAAGTTGTAATTGGGTCGACTTTGGTGTACTCGAGTAATCACAAACAACGACGGCACGAGAAGGCAAAGGCCTCACAAAATGCCCGAGTCATAAAAAACCTTTATCAAACGCTTCGCTGATCCGACAACTTCAATGATGTTTTTCTGTATTCTGTTGTTTTCCCCCCCATTTGTTGTTCGTGTGAACTGAAGAAGGACGACCTTTGGCCAGAAGATGGCACCTTCGCCGGAGTTATCCATTTCGTGATGTTATTGGGAATGACTCAGCCAGGTTTTAGCTTCTTTACGGTTCCGATGGAATTGATTTCTGTTTTTCATTGACGTCTGAGCTGCGATTTGCCTCTGAACGAGTTTGGCATTTGTTTATTTCAGCTTAATATTCAGTTGTTTTCGGCAATGATCATAAATTGTTATTGTTCCATTGCCGTGGGATTATTTGGTGTAAATATATTACCCAAAAAAATATATGGATAGTGTGAGTATAAGCCTCAAGCAACAACTTTTAATTGTTACTTGTGCAGCAGTTTTTGTTTGCAGGTAATGTGGTTTAATTAACTGGAATATGTTTATTAAAAATAAAAGGGAAAGTAATCCCTTTGATATTTAGTTTATGATTTCTTACCTTAAGCCCACTAAAAATGCGTTTTGTTATAGCATAAAAACTTTGTATGAAATAAAAAATAAAACTATGGTGAAAAAAAATGGTTTGAACTTAGAGATTATATATTATATATTGTAATTGAAAATGTATTAATATATATTTATCATACACATAAAATAAAAGCAACAAATGTTATTAAATGGCATCACATATTTTCAAATTCATGGAGCTAGTGAATTGGTTTTCCATCGAAAAATCACGGTTAGGTACGCCTCTTGATGATCGCCATGTTGGCCAGCTTCAGAATGCGGTTAAAATCGACCTTGACGTGGGCGCGCCAGAACTTGCAGCGACCCCAAATGACGGCCGGATAGTTGGGGCTCATGATGCCGTGAAAGATTCGGGCAATATTCCGTCCGCTAAATGTATTGTCCGGATACATGTTGATCAGGGCGTGTACGTCATCTATGATGTGCTCATCGGGCACGTTGCTTGGCTAAAAGACAGAAGGAAGACAAATATTTATGGTAAGCAATGGGTTTTTCAAATCATGGAAAAACGATTACCTCTACTTCCAGTTCCAGATCCTGCGGGTAATCATTGGCAAAGTAGTTGCGCACTATAGCCTTCAGCTGCTCGCCACGATCTTTGGGAAAATCCGCATTGCAGCACTGGCTGCAGGAGCTGTATGCCACTGCCGCCAGTCCATGGGCCACATATTGCAGCTGGATGAGCTGTGTACGCTCCTGTTTCACGGAACGCGTGTAGAGCGTGTCCAGGGCGCTGTCAATCTCCGATTCCGTAAAGTCTCCCGGCACCTTGATACGGAATCCCAAATCATAGAAGCTCACCGTGATGGGTGATCGCTTTGGAAAGCCATTCACTGTCGAAAGATACCAGTTTTTAAATGTCCTAAAGATCGGAGTACCATCTTACCTTTCACCCATTCCAGGTCCTTCAGTTGGTACTTGACCACGCCACTGTTCCAACCAATTCCAGCCGCAATGTCTGTCACCGAGAACTCAATGATATTGGAGTCCTCCTTGAAGGTCTTGTCCCTAATCTGCAATGCAATGGCCATGGCCAAGGGTGGACATTCTTTTGCAGCGTGCCTATGAATGGGAAAACCCAGTTAGAAGTGATCTGACCACATAATATCGTAATAATTTTCAAGTTAAAAGTAAGAAACTCACTTCAGGTACTTGGGTCCGCCGTAGGAGATCACCTTGGCCATAACATATGCTGAGCTCAGCACACTGATGCACCACCGAGGATCCAGCTCCATGTAGCAGAGCAGCGTGGATATGTTCTCCGCCGGGATATCCAGCATCTCGACGGTTTTCTCAACTGAAAAGCCTATCTCATGACCCGGACATGCATGTTCCCTCGGACCATCGCCCTCCTGGGCAACAGTTAGAGCAGCTGTCTTGGAAGCCTCCTTATCACAGCTACAAGGCACGAAAATCTTCTGAAGAAGCTTGCGGATCACATGCCTGTCAATGGAGTTGGCATACACATGCCGACGCAGCTCACTCTGGTCGCCACCTTTGGCATCCAAGAAAAGGTGACAGTGGGATGGCAAACCATCGCGTCCGGCTCGCCCTATTTCCTGCACGTAGCTCTCGAAGTTCCGCGGCATATTATAGTGGATCACGGCCCGTATGTCCGGCTTATTGATGCCCATGCCGAAGGCAATGGTGGCTACCACTATACGCAACTCGTTGCCCATGAAAGCCTTCTGGACGGTGCGGCGCCTGGAAGCGGGCATTCCGGCATGGTAGGGCTCTGCCTGCCAGTTCACCCGCTTGCGTTTCTTTCCCGGATCCTGGGCTGGCTGCCTACGATCCTGCACACAAGTTCTAATGAAACCAGCGATTCGCTCGCACTCGTCTCGCCGTGTGCAGTAGATAATGATGGATTGGCAAGGCTCAAAGCTGAAATTATAGAAAATAGTTGAAACTTCAGTCTTCAATCTGTTGGACAAGCATTACCGTTCGCTATTGAGTAGCTGGAGCAGCGCCGCATCTCGGTTGTGATCCTTGGAGACGGACAGAACCAGATTGTCTGGCAGTGGGATGTCGCTAATAATGCCTCGCTCTCCATCCGTAATCCCTAGGTGGTTGATGATACTTATGCGCGTGGGCAGTGTGGCCGTAGCTGTAAGTCCCAGCACCGTGTGTACGCCGAGGTTCTTCCGCAGCACCTTGCAGATCATCAGATAACTAGGCCGAAAATTGTGACTCCATTGGGACACGCAATGCGCCTCGTCAATACAGGCAAATGCAATGGGTGGCAGCTGGCGGAGAATAGCTCCAAATCCGGTGGCGCGTTCCCCGGCAACTACTGCTTCCGGCGAGACCAGAAGTATGTCGATCTCGCCATTGGCGATCATCTGCTGGATCTTCATACGCTGCGGCGCAGTCTGGTTGGTGTGCAGGCAGTGGGCACGCAGGAAGTGCGGCACGCCGGTCACCTGATCCTCCATAAGCGACACAAGAGGTGAGATGACCAGCGTAATAGCTCCCACCTTGCGGCTATACAGGTAGGCGGGCAATTGGTAGCACAGAGACTTGCCACTGCCCGTGCTGAGTGTAACCAGCGATGAGAGTCCGGATAGAGTGCGCATGATAGCTCGATCCTGACCTATTTGGGATTATTAAAAACATATATTATTATGATATGCCTTGAGTAAAGGTTCCCTCTTACCCTTCCTGAAATTACTGTGACCGAACATGTGCAATACTTCCAACACCTCGGGTGTGGTGTCCTGGACACTTCCGTCCGGTAGGAGATCGTATAGGGGCTTCACCCCGCCGTGCCGGCTGCGAGTTGAAGTAGAAGCGTTGGCATCCAGACCAGCCTGCTTAAGGAACTCCTCAGGGATCTTGTGACCAACGTATGTCTTAATAGGCGAAGTTGGTTTCCCTTGGGAACTTGGCTGACTAAGCGAGGCTTCCACAGCTGCATCCAGGGCCTCGAAGTCGACGTCCATTTCATCGCTGGACCAATCCGGCTCCTGATACGGTTTTTCCTCTTCATCACCGCTGCTGACTGGCATCTCTTTCTCTGATTCTTCAGATTCCGCGGCTTCAAGTATGGCGGCATTGGCCGCCTGGGGCAGTCTTGATATGTTGCGACTGTGAGCCACCACTGCTCCCTGGCTGGCCATCTCCTGGGCCTCGGCCAGCGTGGGAAATGGCGAGGGATCCTCCTCCAGCTGCGCGGATAGGGGCAACAAGCTATCCCCTTTCACCTTGCACTGCTGGGCGAAATGTCCAACTCCTCCGCACTGGAAACAGGTAAGCACTCCTCCATCGCAGCCACCCATGTCCATATCCGGCCCACTCAAGGCAGCTACTCGTTTCTTATGGCGCCACTGCTGCTTCTTGTACTTGCTGAAGTTCACGGTCTTTTTGCCGCGAGAGAATTTTTTCTTTTGAATGTTAATGGTTACAAAGTTCTCGTTTAACTTCCCGGAAGCGATTCGCTCCTCCAGTTTTTTTCGGGCTGCAGCACGCTTTTCATCTACCCGAATGTTGGAGCCATCTGCTAATCCTGCCTCAGTAGGTCCTGCAGCAAAGGTGCTAATATAGCGCTGAGCGGTAGCATCGGCTTTTTCCAGATCTTGCTGATTAATGCGAGGGACAGAGGTGATGTCTCCTGCCTCCAAGGCCAGAACGTATTTGAGATCCTCAGGATTCAATGGCTGACTCTGGTCTTCTTGGGGATTAGGCTCAAGTTCCGCAGCAGTGGCTTTCTTGGACTTCTTCGGCTTCTTCTCCGCTTTAGGTTTCTTCTCGGCTTTGATTTTGGGTTTCTTTTCAGCTTTTGGCTTTGGTTCTGCTTTAGGTTTGGCGGTCTTTCGTTTTCCGGCGGCTTGTTTGCGCTTTGCCTTATCTTTCTTTTCCTTCTCCGGTTCATAGGTGGCGTCCTGATCCTCGTCGGCGGAGAAATCCATGGCATACTCATCCTCTGGATCTTTGGGGTTCAATGATTCGAATTCCGGTTCAACTTTACTGGGTATCTCAGCTTCAGCGGCTACTTGAATCGAATCGGGTGCAGTTGGCATAATCTTGCGACGTTTGGCCAGCTGTCGATATTCCTGCGGCTCTGGCTCTTCGTCACTTTCAGCCACCACAGAGTCGGAATCCGAATCGGCTTCCTGCTCGACACGTCGAGGTTTATGTTTAGGAGAAGTTATTTTCTGGCTGGAAGCAGAGGGAGTCCGACTTGGCTGTGCCGGTTTCTCGTTTACGACGGAACTGTTACTTGCTTGCAACACCTTTGTGGCTTCATCCTGTTCGTTCTTGACCTGCACCTGCTTCTCCTTCTTAATGGATGGCTTTAATTTACTCAAATCAAGATTGGCCAGCCCAAAGTTCGTTTTCCTCGACGGACCACTATTATTATTCGTTTCCGCAAACGGCGTATCCGCCTCAAGAGTGTTCTCCGTAGTGTTTCGCTGTAGCCAGCCGTCATCCACCTGGGTTTTTATAGTTTCCTTGCTGTGCTCGCCGGCCAGCAGTGAATTGCTGGCTAAAGCCAGCTCCTTCTCCTTGTACTCCTGTGCCTTGCGTATCAGTATGGTCTCAAAATCGGGCAGTTCTTCTACCGGACCAGTCGAAACTGACCTAAGGGTACTGGTAGAAGTGGAGGCGTTGATGGAACTGTTTGAGAGCGGCTTTCGGGGATTTCGCTTGGCGAAGCCGCGCGTGGATTGAAATAGCTTGGCACTCAAACTGGGCTTTAGACCGGCGGCCACTTTAGGCTGCTTGCCCTGCACTGGAGCGGACATGGAAGCCTCTAGTGGCTGTGGCTGTGCTGCTAGTTTCTTGCTGACATCTTTGCCCCAGGCATTTTGGTTGATTGGCAGCTCCTCCACCGCCTCAAATTTACGGATCACATGGTTCTCATCGCGATTGACCAGATTGGTGAGCACTTGGCGATTGGGCAGGTCCTGGAGATTGGAAAATGAATTAGCCGCCGGCGGCGTAAGCTCCTGCAGATTGGCAACGCTCTGTGGCTCCACCAGTGCAGATATATCCAGGGGCAGTTGGGGACCTCCGTTCAGACTGAGGTCCTGATCCAGCATGCTCACACCCAGATCGCTGGCCTGCGACATCTCCAGGACATCGAATCCATCTTCGCTGAGCACATCGTTCAGGGTCTCCTCCAGAAAGGATGTTTTCAGCTTGTAGTACATTTTGTAGGAGTCGCGAATCTCCTGGCTGGCCTCCCGAATATCATACTGCACCAAAAGATGGAGTAATTTGAATAATTTTAATATATTAGAGATTATCCCAATATTACCTTCGATGGAACTCGGCCATTCTTCTTCTTGAAATCCTTTTCCCACAATTTGACGCGTAGCTTGTACTTCTGGTATTTCAGCTTGAACACCGAATCGTCCATGTCGATGGCCGTCTTAAATGGTTACAAACATTAAAAAACAAACATTTGGAACAATATTTTAGGCGACTACAAAATTAACACAAGTGCAGCTGATTTCGCTGAGCGCGCGCTTTTTCGCCGGCGTTGCCAGACCAATGCCGGCGCAGGGAGAGTTGCCAGACCATCGCGTGCATGGACAATGGGCCAAATAGCGTTTCAGGGATTTAAAAATTTAAAATTTAAGAATGCTTTTATTAAGTTTGGACGGGTTTGCAGAAAAAACAAGAATATTTGCCAGAAAAGCGAATTTAAAAAATCCGAATGATTTCTCAATGTTCAATGAGGAGAAGTATAAGTAAATTTCTTCGAACAATAAATAAAAATAGTTTTAGGCAAAACGAAAAAAAAACTCAATCACCCAAATTATATAGATATTGCTGCGCATTTTATTCAATTTGTGTTCGTTTTTGTAGTAAAAAATATCCAAGCTTGGCCGTTGCAAAATGCAGTTTTCACAATGATGCTAGGTAGGTATAGGTAAATGACTTGCAGAGGGCTTTCCTCGCTGGAATAACTGAAGATTACAGGTAATAGCTACGTGGATAGGAGCCAAGCAAAGCAGCCGCACGGGATTTCCAGCGGGGTGGACAAAGCGGAGGAGGGAGAGCGGCGAAAGGCAGGGCGAGAATGTAAACATAGATGTTGAGGAGCCTACATGAGTATCAGGGCAATCTCCTCCGGCTGCATCGATGGACAACGCCAGTTGTACAAGTAGTACTGCAGGTTTCCATCCCCGGCACCGAACTTCAGCGGAGCAAAGTACTTCTTGTTCTCCATGAGGTCAAGGGCATTGTACACGTCCATCTGGACATTGCGGGCCGAGATCAGTGCATCGTTCATCAGGTCCAGCCACGGAGTCTTTGTCGACACATTATAAAACGAATAGGCGGCGCGAACGGTCTTGTGCACCGGATGGTGCATCACCGACGAGGGCAGGCAGTAGTAGCTGGTCAGATCAGTGATGTTGCCCTTCTCGTCGGCCACCACGAAGCAGTCGATAATTCCTTCCTTGGGTGTAAACCAATGGCGGAACTCCTCCTTGCTGAACACCGGGCTCAGCTGGAAACGCTTCAGGTAGTCCTCCAGCAACTTGTGCGCCTTGTCCATATCCTTCGCTGTGATCCGGCGATAGCCCTTTGTCTTTGGCTGATCGGGCAGTTTGTACAGCTTCATGGTGCGCTGCATGGTCATGTTGCGGGCGAGATGCGAGAAGCGCACGTCCACCAGCTTCTTGGGGTTAAGGGAGCGGTGCCAATAGCGGCAGGTAGCAACCGGCGTGGGCAGCACGACCCCAGCCGTGTAAGCCGCCTGGAATATTCCCGTCAGATTGACGCGACGCGTGATCTCACGGATTAGGACTGGAGCCACCCGCTTGCTGCGCAACTTCTTGTGGACGCACAGGAAGTTGATGTCCACCACCTTGAGCACCTTGTCGTACGACTTTAGCTTGCTGGGTATGGCCGAGATGAAGCCAACCAGTTTGTTGGACTTCTCCACCCGCACGCCCACATGCCAGTCGCGTTTCCAGCCCGGCGGCTGCAGCGACCACTTGAGGAATTCGGGCTGGTAGTCGAAACGGAACATGGCGTCGTCGTCCTCGACATAGTTCTCGTTGAGCAGCGTGTACAGCTCCTTGAGATCGTTGGCGTCGGTCAGGTCCAGTGTCACCCACTTAAAACCACCTGGCAGGGTGTAGGGCTCCGCCCGGATCTCGCTGACCTCCTTGTTTGGTTCGATGCATTCATTGGTGGTCACCTGCTCGTCCAGCTTGGTGACCGGCTGTGTGGACCAGAACGCAAATTTCTTGCGGGTGCTGGCCATCGCATCGGATACGGCCTGTAGCAAGGCCTGCTTGCCTGGAAAAGAAGCGGAGTATTGATTTTAGTAAGCCTTTATGCTGCTCCTTCTCCAAATATAAATAGCTTTTCGACGCTGCGAAATGTTTTAACTCGAATAACAAATCTGACGCATTAAAAAATGAAGGCAACAACTGACAACAAGCTTCCAAAACGGGGAGTTTAAGCATGAATCAAGCATGTTATCAAGGTTTTATGAGTTTTAGATTATTTCATTTTTTTTAATTATCTCGAATTTGGGTCTTGCTCATATTTTTGTTCCTTTATAAACATTATAAAGCCATTATACACAATTCTGATAATTTAGTGATAACGTAAAACAATACAAAAATGTAGGATTCATCCCAAGCTTATCCATAAATTGTACTTTCAATAAAATGGCAAAGGAATTCGGAAACGGTGAGCAAATGTCCTTTCACTGTGAACTTCAAGCTAAAAAGGCCGGACTGTAGTCCCCGACCAAACCTAACCTCATTTTTTTCAGCCCCAAGGAGGTGCCTCCAAAGGTGTTTATTCTGGCGCGAGGAAAACTTACTTGAACCCGCAGACACTGAGGCATCATTCTTCGTTCCATCCGATTGCTCCGCATCCTCGTTTTCGCCTATATTCGCGGATCCCGTGTCCTGGATCTTTAAGCCGGCAAGAACCTTCTCGAGCATTTCCTCCGAGGCGACCGCCACCTCCTTGGCCTTCTGCTTCAGCTCCTCACCGGAATGATCGTCCGCATTCTCGTTAGACATGTTTTGCACTATATTTCTGTTTAAATAGTTTAGCAAATTAAAATTGCAATGAAATCGCAAAACTACAAAAACAGCTGACTCGATAGATCTCTTCCTCTTCGATTTTAAGCTGCTCAACGAACGGTCACTCTAACATACCGACGGGACACAAAAAATGTATCGATAGTTCTAATTACAGAAAAAGCCCGCGTAAATTTAAAAATAAAACGATAGTCTACATTAGTGATGTAACAAAAACATCGATAGTCGCCATAAACCAATACGTGCACTGGCCCAGAGCAACTTACGTACTACGTAGTCACCATTCGCGCACGGGGATCCACCATATTGAGATGTGCTAGGGCTGCCGAAACCATCGGTAAATGTAAATGTGGCCGTACGCCGTACAGCTGAACTAAGAACATGGTCACCCAAGTCCGCCCACCGTGGGGGCTACGCATCTCTAACGCCGTATTGTTTATATAGTTACTAAAGCCGAACGAGAATGCAATGTGGCGATATCAGTTGCTGATAAGCACTGGATCAACCCCGCGACTTACGACCTCCAAACGATGATGACTGCGACCAAGAAACGCCTGAAGATTGTGGCGGCCGCCTCGCTGGTACTCCTGCTCCTGGTCTACCTGTACCGCGCAGTCAGTGTTTCAATGGGCAGAATATCCTCCATTTCCATTACCGCTGGCGAGGAGCTCCAGGCCCGCTGGCCGCCCACGGAGAGTCCGTTGCAGAGGAGCCTCCAGATGGCCTACGAAGAGCAGAGTTCCCTGATCCGGGAGCAGAAGGCCGAGCTGCAGCGCACCAGGGAGCACCTGACCCAGTTGGAAGAGCAGATTCGTAGCCTGCAGAGCAGTACTCCCCGCAAGTACCAGAAGGTCAAGTACCTCAATTACAAGAACCGCAAGCGCATCCTGATCACCGGCGGAGCTGGTTTCGTGGGCTCCCACCTGGTCGACGATCTGATGGTCCAGGGTCACGAGGTTATTGTGGTGGACAACTTTTTCACGGGACGGAAGCGCAACGTGGAGCATTGGCTGGGCCACGAGAACTTCGAGCTCATCCACCACGACATCGTGAATCCGCTGTTCATCGAGATCGATGAGATCTACCACCTGGCATCGCCGGCCTCGCCACCGCACTACATGTACAATCCGGTGAAGACCATCAAGACCAACACCATGGGCACCATCAATGTGCTGGGTGGGTTTTATTGTAACAAACACCAGAGATAACTAATAGAAAGCGTTTTTGTTGTGTAAATAATTTCATAAAAAGGCCTGGCCAAGCGCGTGATGGCCAAAGTTCTGATAGCCAGCACTTCGGAGGTCTACGGCGATCCCACGGTGCATCCTCAGCCGGAAACCTACTGGGGCCATGTGAATCCCATCGGACCAAGAGCCTGCTATGACGAGGGAAAGCGTGTCTCCGAGACCCTAAGCTATGCGTATGCCAAACAGGTAATCTATCAACCAGTATTCCAAATGTAAGACTTTTGTGTTTCTTTTTGATGGGTATAAGTGGGAGGGGACCTAAACCAATAAACTTTATCAAACAAATATATATATATATAAATATATATATTCTTATTGCTTATCAAGTAATTATGAGTTAGCATTCAAAACAAAGAAAATATTTAACAAAGAAAGGCCATCCAAACAAACTAAATGAGTTATGCACAGCTAATAGTATGCAAACATATCAATTTCCTAAACAACATTCTTGTCCAGAATCGCATTCTTGAAAATCACTGGAAAATAGCATAAACCAGCTGGCATCCAGAAATGTGGCAGATCTTTCCTGATTCGATCGGTAGCCGGGCAGTAAATTATCTCAATTGGAATGCCATTAATTGCTGTTCCGCTCCGATGCTTGTCACGAGATAAGATGTTTAATCGCGGGCACTGACCACATTTCTCGATCTCCACTGGGGGCAATCTGGCCACTCAAACTAATTGCTTTCGCATTGAATCTGTATCTGTAGGAAAAGGTGCAAGTGCGCGTGGCGCGGATCTTCAACACTTATGGACCCAGGATGCACATGAACGATGGACGCGTTGTGTCCAACTTTATACTGCAGGCGCTGAGGAATGAAACCATCACGGTGTATGGAAACGGCAAGCAAACCCGTTCATTTCAGTATGTATCGGATCTAGTGGACGGAATGATAGCCCTGATGGGATCCAACTATACGCAGCCGGTGAATTTGGGCAATCCCGTGGAGCAGACGATCGGCGAATTTGCCGAGATCATCAAGCAACTGGTGGGCGGGCCAAGTGTGATAAAGCAAACGAAAGCCGTGGAGGATGATCCGCAGCGCAGGAAACCGGACATCACTCGGGCCCGGCAGTATCTACATTGGGAGCCCAAGGTTCCCCTTGAGACTGGACTGCAGCGGACCATTTCCTACTTCCGCAACGAACTGGCGCGAAGCGACCGCTTCCAGGAGAGCTCCAACAAGTACTTCGACACACCGTAATACAACACCGTAGCATTAATTGGGTCTAGCTTTAGTTGGTGATGATGCAACGTCTCTAGTCTGCAACTGTAAATATGACCATCGATAGTACTAATTGTAAGCCTGTAGGATCACGCGATATTTTTTACATCATGAGAATGGTTCCGTGTGTAAAGTTTTTGGATATATATAACCAATAGACATAGTGTTAGTGGTAAGGAATCGGGAGCCACTAACGTACAAATGCGGTCAAATTTGTAGCTCTAAAAATTGGGGAATATAATTTTATAAAGTATTTGGATATATAACAAATTCACATTTATTAAAATCACATGCAAAACCACTAATATAACATAATTATTTTTGAAAAGCTAAAAGAACGGGACATAAATCCCAAACGAAACAGTGAATTAAAGAATATCGTTTAGACTATGTTGTATTTAAAGTGCTATTTCATTTGACCGCAAGTGTACCGCATAAACAAACAAAATCACTGGGATACATGAAACTGACAAACAGTATATAATCCATTGTAATATTTCTACTATTGTACATTAGAAGAGCCTAAAAGTTTCCAAATTTCATCAGAGGGTTATGAATCGCATATCAAGACCAGTGAGAATTAATTTGAACTAATTATTGGAGAACTGTGACTCATTTACAATGGTGGACGAACAACACCTCTGCGCCTTAATCCAGCGTCACCACGCCGCGATTCTAGGCTTAAGTAGGGTTTTGAGTTGCTGTAGTTTGTAGGTCATTAAAAAAGAGTTTTTTCTCTGCGAACTTATCTTACCCGACAAGTATTTTACTATCTATGTACATGGCTTATCCTAAGCTTAATCTACGCTAGTATACGTCCAACTTAAGATTATATTTGCACCTTTGCTTATCAGCTAGATCAACTAGATTGGCCGCTCGCATGGTCCGTTTCACCTGGCCAGCGGTTCGAGCATCTCGAGGAACAGTTTCTTCATCGTGATGACTTCATCGCGAGCTATTCCCCGCCAGAATCGCCGCAGGATGTCATCCGCCTGCCGCAGCGAAGGCAGCAGGAGGAGCAACTGCTGCTGATGCGACACCGCCGACGAATGTCGCAGCAAGTAGACGACATCGTTAAGGGAATTGAGAATCGTATCGCGGAAGGCGCGCAGCGAACTTTGATCATCCAGCAGGATGTCGCAGTTGGCCAGCAGCAGCGCCTTCAGCAGGTAGTACTCTTCCCTCCGTGGCGAAATCCTCTCCATGCGCTGCGCAATCTGCACACAATGGTAGTAGAACTCCGTGTAGCCGCATTCCTTGGCCAACAGTTCGTCCATCCAGACGTCCGTGGCGAAGCACAGTTTGCCATTAAACGGCAGCGACCGAAAGGTCAGCTGGAGGGTCAGGATCTCGGCCCACGACACCTGCAGCAGTTTCATCTGGTCGTTGAGGGGCAGCTCTATGAAACCAGGGATCTGCTTGGCCCAGCCAATTACGCTGACCAGCTCCTTGTCGTAAATATCGCTCAGCACGCTCAGTATCTCATTGGGATCATTGTTATTGTTGTTTTGAAAAATGCAAGTCCCGTTGGGCGTGACTCCAACGCTGGACTCTAGTTTGATGCTGCCCGAGGAGGATGAGGCCTCATCATTAGCAATGGTAGTTGTGTGCACTTGGGGTGGCGGCGTCTGAACAATCAAAGCATCCGGCTCGTAGGAGTTGAGCACCTCCAGGATCTTCACATCGCACAGCGATGTAGTGTTAGATTGGTAAAGCAGCTGCATAGTTTGGTATGAGTTAGAGACGGGATTCCGCCGGTATTTCTGCCGCCCACCACGAACTCGATCCAAACGCACGCCCTCCTAAAATGCAAAGAAGCAATTAGTACTTAAAGGTTTTCGCTCTGATCTCAGGAATTACCTTGAGCATGCCCATGAGCAGGCACTTCTGGAAGCGACACGCCTGGCAGGCCTTGCGTCTTCGCTTGTTGATCTCGCACTCGTTGTTCGCCGGGCAGGTATACTCGATGTTGCCCTGGATGGTGCGTTTAAAGAATGCCTTGCAGGCCTCGCAGCTGGCAACGCCATAGTGGAATCCACTGGCCACATCGCCGCAAACCAAGCACAGCCGGCGGAGCTCATCCCTCACGGATCCGGAACCTGTTCCGGCACTGGCATTGGTGGCATTTCCTCCACTGGGGCCGCCACCTCCTCCTCCTCCGCCGCCTCCACTGGTGCCACTTCCGGCTCCACCGCCCTTCAGACTATCGCCATCGTTGCTTAAGGATACGTTGTGCAGATCGCAGGAGAGGGAGGTCGTAGAGCTGCAGAGTTGTCTCTCCGGTGAAACCGAAGGCGAGGACTTCATGCCGTTGGTGCCACTCTGCGTGGCCGTTGACTTTGAACTGGGACTAAAGCATGAGGCTCCGCCGCCGGCCGAAGATGTGTCCACCTCCTGCTTGATGTGCAAGATGCTGACGCCGTCGGACATATTCAAGCCTTGGCTGTGGGAAAAAAAGATTTTGGGGGTCATACAAATGCATTAGGTTATGGACGCAGACTTAAAATTAAATGGATGAATTGGATTCGGTTGCTCTAATTTCAATCTTACTAAAGTTCCTCTTCTAAATAATGCGTTGTATATGTATAGTGTATATACATACATAGGTTATAAACTAATATGTTGATAAATATTCCATTTTTTCAATAAGCTTAAGCCCCAGGAAAACAGAGACATATACATACAAATTTTAATACAATATTTTGTTGTATTATCATAGAAGTATGCGATGACTATTTTAAACACGGGTTAACAAAATAGAATAGCCTCAGTAAAAACAATAAGATCATCCCATTAAAATTAGATCTTACGAGATTTACATTAAGATTTTAAACATGGAAAAAGGGGAGATGTTTTTTAATATCGTTTAATAACTGCATCACATATTGTAATTTATTTTCACTTAATTAACTTACAGATCAGGTAAAAATAAAGACCTAAAGGGTTAAAAATATGGGAAACACGTTTAAATTCGTCGAATCACTGCGATAGAGATCGCTCTTTCTAAATGTCAAATAGTACGCGCTGCACAGTGGTAAGCTCTGCCCCCAAAACCGGGAACTTTGAAATTCCAACGTTGTTATCAGCACTTATGAATGGGTTTATCAAGTTTGCCCACTGTGCTGGCTAGTCGCACGAAACTTGGTCACGGAATTCTTAATGAATGCAAAAATTATATTGTAATTGTAATTAAGCCGAGCAACCAGCAAAACAATGCAGCAGACAGCTTAGTGCAATGGTTTGTGATCGCCGATCCAAAATGTGTAAGCTCGATGGCGTACCCTTCTCCTGCGTAGAACTTCATCGGTGGTCGTGGAAAAGTACGAAACCGAACTGAGCTGAAAAAACCGAAGTACCGAGCACCGTGAGTGCGATAATGGTACTGTGCGTGGAGTACCTTCCAGCTAACGGTACTACAAATCACGACGCACAGTGCTGACATTGATTAGGCAAAAGCGAAACAAATTAAAAATGGAAGGCGATGGTGGGGATATCGAAGGGCGAATACTCTTCTGGATAAGTTATAATACTACTCTGTATACTATATCTGATCTTGAAGCATGTGTAGGTATACATAGGATGTTTCCAAGAACATTAAGTTGTTACCCAAGGTGTTCCTATTTAAATTTGCGATATCATTATTAATAAGCACTGTATATATCTAGCTCATATATGTACCATGGGTTAACTTATGAATAAAGCGCTAGCGACTAGGTCCTTCGGCTCGTATCAACAAATAATTATTTATTTGGTAGTTTTTAGCGAGTTTTATAAGTTAAGGAATATCATTGAATTGGTTTATAATTATATTTAATTTTCGAATATCTTTGAATGAATTAATGTTAATATCAATTCAATAATATCCCTTAATCAGTCTATTAATTGCAATTTATAGACATTTTATTTTGATAATAAACATGATAATGTTTCCTCTGTCTGGGATGAAAGAGTCGAATCAGATTATATCACTTTCGAGGGGTTCTTTTAGAAGTAGTATATTGGTCCCGAGAACTGAGGGGTATCAACGATCTACCCATGGCAACAAGACCCCTCGAAAGGGTATAAAACGCGCGCTGGCAAAGACAATACAATGGGGGGTGTACCAAGTAGTGGCGTGCTAAGTAGACGGACGACGACATCAGCCAGGTTGCAGATGAAAGATAAGCGCTCTTGCCTTATCAGCCCCCTGGTAGCCTGGAAGCCAGGCCAGCCAGATTATGGCCCAAGGTGGGCCTGTCCGTATCTGTTTACATACTTACATAAAACTGTTTTGAGGATCTTTTGTGTAATCAGCTCTACTTCAGCGCGGCAGAAACGTCAATACATATCGGCCCCCTCGACCGTCTATATGTATTTATTTTGGTCCGATTCGAGCACCTTGTTATTGCTTTTGTTTTCGTTAGTGTGCATGTTTTGAAATGTGAATCTTTTAGTGTTTATTGCTAGTTAATTTCACAGCTTTCGTTGCTATTACTGGGCATCGTGGCTTTTGGCGACCGATTTTATTGCACTCTCCATAAGAATGTGCGAGCGATGCAGACAGCAGCATCTGCATCGATTTTGTGCGGCTGGATTTGGTTATAGCAATTAGGCAAGGCACGAAATGTCTCTTTGCTCGGGCAAATGTCACATTATTGAGATGGTATTTATTGTTTGCATCCCGTTTTCGCTAGTTTCCGCACAGATATTTGCATATTGGAAAGATTAAAATGTAATTTTTTTTGTGAACCAGACCAAACCAGGGATGTCAATGGCTAGACTACCTGGCCAGGGATGCACACAACACTGGTTCGCGCTCATGATTCGGTGGTTCATTTTAAAAGCAAGGAATTACTATTTTTTTTATGTTTAAAGTTAGAATAATTAACATTAATTGTTACATTTTTAAATTATAAATAGTCGCCATAAGATTCACTTACTTAAAAATGAAAAAAATTAGCTAGTGTAAATACTGTTTTAATCGGAATTTTGTTGCCAGCCTTTGTTTTTAAAATGTGTGATAAATATTTTTTTAACATCATCAAGGGAAAAACTCTTTTACTTAGTTGCCAAATATATAACAAGTGGTTTCTAAGATTTCAATAACTGCCAAAAGGCTGATTTTAATTTAACTATTTAGCGTGTTGATAACCCCAAAAAAGAGATTTCGTTTTTGCCAAAGAATATTTTAGAGCAATATCAATTTATCCAAACGAGTGTGTTATTTTTTTCTGTGTAACAGACCCTTTCCAACACTGGCGAATGCAACTCTGCATTTCGACTCGCACTCCCTGGTTCCCTCTGTTGCTGTTCAACTTGTCTTTGTGTGGGTGCTGGGTGCTGGTGTGCGTGCGAGTGTGTGCAAAAACAGAGTAAAAACAATTGCGCGACAAGAAATCCAAATATCATTAAATATTACGTAGCTTCAGTTAAGTAAACGTCTTTCAGCCAACCACTAGTCGTCGGCGGTGTCCTGCGAATATCGAAAGGTCCGAAACAGAGGAGATAGCGTTACAAAAAGGTAAAAATAAACGATTCCCAGTCACGTATTGTATATTTCGCAAGCGAGTGTGTGTGTGTGTTTTGTTTGTTGTTGTTGGTTTTATCAGCAGCCCCAAAAAGTGTACACACACTCGTGCATAGTTTGTTATTGTATTTATTAACATATATATATTGCTTTGGCCCACGCTTTGTTTGCGCCATTCGCCATTCCGTAATGCGCCGTCGGGAATTAGGGATACATCCATGATATCCATAGAGTAGCTAACAAAGCCACCTATTAACGCCCAATCTGTTGCAGGACCACAGCCCCTCCCACACAGCCACCATGATGAGCCTGCTCGGGCGCCCCGATGTGGATGCGGGCGAAGTGTTCGTCAACTTCAACCAGAACATAACGTAAGTGACAGTGGACATCCGATAAGGGGGACGCTAAAAGAGTTGGGTTTAATTGGGAAATCCTGCGACATTAAATAGTTTACATTTCAATTGAGCGCTGTGTGTTTAAAAATCTACAGTTAATTTTTTTTATGATTGTCAAAACAAATGTCCCTAGTACTTCCTTTTTTATTTAAACGAATATGTATTACTCAAGCTAAAAATAAAAATAAAAATGATACACATTTAATGTAATATTTATGCATGCTTTAAAAATAAATCCGATAACATATAACATAATTTTTGGTTCAATGCCTTGTCTGAAAATTAACAGATAACAGATAAGTAAAACCCCCCTTAGGGGCCCTTATCAACATTCTATAAATATAAATTAATTTAAATTCGATTTTAAATATACAACTGGAACAAGGCAATTTATTATTTATTCATTCTTATATTTAAAATGTTGTTCTTAAGACCTTTATAGATTAAAAAACATTGGTAGAGGTTTATTTATATTTCTTTAAACAGCAATGCTTAAAACAATTAAAGAATAGGTTTTCGGTCAATATTCAATAAAAAGTTACTTTTATTTTTAAAGAAAAAGTAAAGCTTAAAAAAATATTTTATCTTAAAATTTTCCCAATGACTCATAGTTTCTTCTAATCCAATTAACAGTCCCTCGACTAACTCCACTTATAACTGGAAAACCTAATCATACTTGTCGCACTTTCAGTTCTCTGGCCGTGGCCACCAGCGGCGGCTACAGCCTTTACAGTCTGGGATCCGTGGACTCCACGCTGGACAAAATCTACCACACAAGAAGCGACGAGCTTTTCCTCATCGAACGTCTATTTGAGAGTTCCCTAGTGGCTATAGTTTCCCAGCGAGCTCCGCGCAAGCTAAAGGTGTGCCACTTCAAGAAGCAGAGCGAGATCTGCAATTACTCGTATGCAAACACAATTCTGGCGGTGAAGCTCAATCGCGAGCGATTGATCGTGTGCTTGGAGGAGTCGCTGTACATCCACAACATCCAGGACATGAAGGTGGTGCACACCATCCGCGACACGCCGTGCAATCCCCAGGGCCTGTGCGCCCTCTCCTCCTCCTCGGAGCACTGCTATTTGGCCTATCCGGGCAGCGTGACCGCCGGCGAGGTTCAGATCTTCGATGCCATCAACTTGCACGCCAAGACCATGATTCCCGCCCACGATACACCGCTGGCAGCTCTGGCCTTCAGTCCCTCGGGCACGGAAATTGCAACGGCAAGCGAGCGCGGCACGGTGATCCGGGTCTTCAGCTCTCAGGACGGCAGCCGCCTCTTTGAACTGCGACGGGGACTAAAGCGCTGTGTGTCCATCGTTTCGCTGTCCTTCAGCACGTGCGCCGAGTATCTGGTGTCCAGCTCCAACACGGAGACGGTGCACATCTTCCGGTTGGATCGCAGTGCCACAGAGACGGCCGAAGGCCATGGCGGAAAGCAGTCGAGCGACGACTGGATGGGGTAAGTGGTGTTGGATTCGGATAGCTGAACTTCTATTTCGTAGCGATGTAGATAGTTGTACTTACTGCACTTTGCGTTTATGGCTGAAGGTCAATTATTAAGGTGTGGGTGTTCTGTACATAATCGATGTTACCTCTCAAATTACTACGTTTCGTACCAAACCCATCCACTATCATCCATGGCTTTTTGTGTCGAGCATTTTTGCGTTTAAGTCAATAAATATTAAAATCAAACATCCTAACCAACCTGAAGAATCAAAATCAAACGTTATCATATCCATGTAAAAATCCATTTGGTCCCATTATATTGAGCTTCACTATATTGAGTCATTGTGGATCCATTTGAAATGTTATTTGTTTCGACAAATTCTTATACATTATTTTTCATTAATTTAAAATTTATTTAAAAAGATGAATTTTTATTTTAAAACATTGTCTCTAATACAGCATCATTGCGTCGACAATCTGCGTTTAAAAAATACCTTAAAAAGTCAGAACAATGAATAAAAAAAGGGATCTTAAAGTTTGTGTAGTACAAATCTGATAAAAAAAAGCTACTTAAATTTGATGAAAGCCATTCGGAAGACCGGACTGGGTCAGAGTATCTTTTTAATAGGGCTTATTACTTTTTGATTTTCTTCTATTTCTCGTGTGGCACTTGACATTTATCTATTTTTCTTTTCTTTCATTTTGCGAAACCACCAAACACGAACCAACCAACCACCTCAACAACAACAACCACAACTCAACCACTCACCAAATCTACTCTCTCATGCAAGTTACTCGTTTTTTAGATTCTTGAGCAAAACGGTCACCAGCTACCTGCCCACGCAGGTGACCGACGTGTTTAGCCAGGGCCGGGCCTTTGCCTCGGTCACTTTGCCGGAGGCGGGAGTGCGAAGGATGTGCGCCATTACCACGATACAGAAGCAGCTAAGGTGAGTCTTGGATCGGTACTCGGACTGCAGGTCAATTTGCACAGAAAATGTGAAAAAACGCCAAAGCACGCTACCTAGATCAGTACCTTTTCACGAATTTTCAAAACAAACGTGTAATAAAGCTAGGTAGGATCCTTAAGTTTTAAATACCAGTATGCATTTTCTGTGACAAATATTGATCTGTTTCCTACCTATGTATGTTCTCTTCTTTGAGAAAAAATACTTAGAATTTCTACCCTTGTATGTTACCAACAAAAGATGGTAGTTCTAAAGAAATATTCTTAGAAAATTAGGAAATATTATAAAATCGAATTATAAAATGGTGAATCAACTGCCATTTGCCCTGCCAACAAACATACGTCAGATACTAACTCTTGTTCTTCTCACCTTTCCAGACTGCTGATTGCCTCACAGGATGGGTACTTGTACGTGTACTCCATTCCCACCGTCGAGGGCGCAGAGTGTCAGCTGATAAAGAGGCACGACCTGCGGCTGGAGGACCACTACGCCATGGATATCAAAGGTGCATAAACAGTTCGCTTCTCGCACACACTCCACACTCACACACATCCCAACCAAACCCACAATCGAAACAAATTCTCTAGTTGATTCACCTCAAACTCTAGGCCTGAACAGTGGCGTGAGCATCGGCGGAGCAGCCGGCGTTCCGCCCGGTGGTGCAGGTGCAGTCGGAGCAAGCGCCGGCGGGAGTGGTGGTGATGGCAAGTCGGCGGCTCCTGTTTCCGGTGGCGGTGGTGGCGATAAACCGGGCGGCTCCTATGCGTCGGCCGTGAAGGGAGACGAGCCAGCCGGACCCTCCTCCTCCTCCGCCTAGACAAGGATAATGATCAAGAACACAAGAGATGCAGAGATGGTAAACGAAACTCACTCCTCAAAGTACTATGGACGATGATGCAAAGTGATTGCGATGATGCTTGGCGACTGGCGACGGCGGCGATGATGATGATGATTTAGCGACGGTGGCTCTGTGGCGTCAAGCGTATTTAAGTAAATAAATAGGTCATAGACTTAATTTAGCTCTTAATGTTGTCAGCGATGATTCTTCCTCGTTTTGTACCAGCAACAATTCCTTTGTACCGCCTCTCCCTACCCAAGCAATTTTTTTAGTTTTAAGCCCCGTTCCTGGCGCTGCCATTGGAATAGGAAATGCTTTTGTCATACACTCCTAAGTTAGTTGTTAATTAATAATTTAATACGATTTTTAGATTGGCTTTGATATTTGAGTTGCCTGCTTTTTATATAAAATAAACGGCCTTTGCAAATTAGTTTTATTTTTTCGCATATCAACCCCTCATCCCTTGACAATCCACCGAACTCGATTTAAATGTAAAGTTCTCGCCTAGCTATTGTTTAATCATATCGAAATATCTCGGATTAAGCACATCACAACACACACCCATGTATTTAATCTTCAATTTGAAATCAAACATTCAGCAAACGACAGATGAGTGAAAAAAAAATTCGAAAAATTCGGAGTGCTATGGAGGAACAATTTTCGGCATATATATGAATAGGATATATTTTGTACAAAGTCAAATATTTTAGATCATAATATTTAAAAGGAAAACAGTTTACAAAAGAAACTCATACGCTACTTTATTGTATTCAATAAATTATTTGAATTAAAATGTGTCGAATCTGGGTATTTTTGGTGTTGTCTGCGTAATATCTGTAAATGTAGTATTAAATAATTTGTAATCTAAAATTCCTGCTGAACAATCAATTTTCAAAAGGATTATTTAAAAAATAATTTGGCGGGAAAACCGTTAAATTTGAGGGGTTGTCGAACACTGACTAGATATCGATATCGATAGGCTGTACATCTTAAGTGCGGCATCGGGTTTCGCCCATCACTAAGCAGCGGTGCCAAAAACGAAAACAGCGGAAAAAGTTTATGTCAAACAAATCGCGAGAAATACGAGAAATAAATAAAGTATAGATACTCCCCGGACGCGCGAGATGAAGGAGAACAACAAGATCCTCCAGCTCATCTATGTGGCGTGGCGCGAGCGCTGGTCGGACTCCCAGTGGGGCATCAACATTAAAAAGGCAAGGCAAATGCTCCCAACGATCAATATTCATGTCTGGGTCAATATATTATAAACGGAATCAACCTGTGCATTGAGAATTTTAAGAGCTCAAGAGCCCGCCTCCTTGCCTTTGGCCTTGGGCTCGAAAACAGGATCCTCTGCCTGGGACAGGGCCAGAACGAGTTGTCGCTGCTTCACGGAGAGATTCCGGGGAATGCGCACCTTGAGCGTGACGATGTGGTTGCCCACGCCCTCCTTGGAGCGCACGCCCTTTCCCTTAAGCAGCACCTGAGTATGCGACTGGGTGCCCGGCTCCACCCGCAGCTCCACGCTCTCGTACAGGCCGCGCACATGGAATGTGCCACCCAGGATGGCCTCCGAAATGTTGAGGTGCTTGTCCGTCAGGATGTCGTTGCCCACGCGCCGGAAGTAGTCGCTTTCGGGCACCGTCAGGCGGTATGTAACCTGTTGCTTGGTTGCCGGATTCACGAGGCTAACCACATCCCCGTCCCGCGATCCGGCTGGCACAGTCACCATCACATCCACGCTGGACACCACGAATCCCCGATTCGCACAGGTTTCGCAGTCGTTGCGATTCGTGAACCGCTTGCCCTTGCACTGCGTGCACGTGTTCACCGACGAGAAAGTGGCCGTTTTGGTGGTCACCTTTCCGGTTCCATTGCAACGCCGACACGGCTCCTTGCCCACATCCCGGTGCGCCATCAGCTGCGACTTGCCCTTGCAGGTCTCGCACTTTCGCAGGTAGCGCAGATCCATCCGCTTCTTGCAGCCCACAGTCGCCTCCATGAAGTCAAGTGGCAGATCAAACTCGTTGTTCTTCAGTTTGTTGATCTCTGAAAAGGATTTTAAGGGAGTATTAATTAACCAGTTGTATCCCCTTCCTTACCATCATTAGCCGTCTTATCCGAGTCGAACTTCTTGGCCTCCTCGAGGTCCACATTCATGGGATTGCCCGCCTGCTCGAGAAAGGCGCGTTCGTCTTTGATTCCGCCCAGCTGGTCATACTCCAAGCGCTTCGTCTCGTCAGTGAGAATGTTGTAAGCATTGGATAGCTCCTGAAAGTGCTTCAGCTTTTGCTCCGAGTGTGAAGAGTCTGGGTGATAGCGCTTGGCCAGCGCATAGAAGGCTGATCGGATCTGCTGAATAGAGGCGTGCCTGTTGACGCCCAGCACTTTGTAATAGTAGTCCTTGGGCATGCCGCGACCTTGCGAGGACTTAACGGCCGGAGAGGTCACCTGTTGGGGCGTTGATCCCGCTGCCGGTCGCTTCGCCTCCCGTTGGCGATCTGGATAGTAGGCCTGTTTCGTGGTCCTGAATTGATATTGACTGACCAACCGCATCCAGATCCAGCAGGCGGCGACAGCGGGAGCACGATCCAACTCCAGGCCAGGTCCTGCAGTCCTCCTGCAGCCCCCCGTCGCCGCTCCGCCGATCAAAGTGCTCAGTGCGTCCCCGGTACAGCGAAATAATTTTAAACGAAACATTACTGGTCGCGTAACAAAGAGTGCAACTTTGTATGATAATATATAAGTGGAAATCCTAACTCGATGTACTAGTTGTATTGTATATGTATTATTTTATGGGAATATGACCCCTTTATTGTGTGGGAGTTTGATAGGAAAAGCAAATGTTTCATCGTCAGCACTGTAGTCTAATTTGCTCCTCTTCCTGTTTTCAGGTGCTGCCAAGGGGAGTCAGTGGAGATGTGTACAATCTGGCGGATTGTCTGATGCAGCAGGCACTCATTGGCTCCACAGCAAATCCGGTGAGAAAAATGGTTGATAAAATAACGTAGCTTATTTATTGTTTAAACCATTTAATCCTTTCTAGTTGGTTCTTAATTACCTGAAGCACTCGCTGTGCGCCCATCTCGTCTCGCATGCCGCTGTCCTCCGTTGCATTGCCAAATATGACAAATTGGAGCGTGTTTATTGCATTACAGCGCTCCTAGAATTTCTGGCCAGCATTGTGGACGGTGTTACCTGCCGGTAAGTTTTTAGCGCCTATAAGTGCTTTTTTTACTAATCTGTAACTTAACTTTTTCAGCATCAAATCTGAGGAAGCTGTGCTGCCCAGCTCCGTGGTCCACTTGGTCTACTGGCTGTTCCAAATCTTTGCCAGAACTGTGCAACATTATGAACTCTATGGCGAGATTAGCGCAGAGCAATCGTACATGCTGGACCAGACCTGCGTGGTAATCGACCGCCTAAGCCAGCAGCAATTTCTGCTCTCCATGCTGTACGTGGGTTGCCACGAAGAGCTCGAAATATGCGGACGGATTCGGGATAAGTACGCCAACATCAAGGGATCGTTGACGAACTCCAACTTCACTCTTAATGCGCCAAGCGTTGAACAGCAGCTTCAGCAATTGGCCTACATTGAAGCCAAACACCTGGACATGCAGTCATTGAATTCACCGCCAACGCTGGAAAAGATCTCGTGCTGTGTGCAACCGTTGTTGGCGGTGGAAGTGCTGCTCAATCCTTGCAAGGACACTAGCTATTACGTGGCCGAGTTGCAGATGCTGCAGCGATTGAAAAGGTACTCCAACACACGCCTCTTCTACGAAATCATTCGTGCTGGATTCCTCACGCTAAGCAATGTTGCGGATACCAGTCCGGACACCATGTGGGGTGCCTTTATGTTCTTTAAGATGCCGCACATCATCAAGCAGCTGCACGCTCTGCAGCGGATTCCCGGAGAGCAACCACCGCCGGCAGATTACATACCCGAGTTGGTTGAGGCCTTGGAGCTGCTCATCGAGGATAACCTGCTGCTGGACTTCATGGACACCAAGTGCTCGTGCAATATGATCGAGTTCCTCCTGAATGACTGGACCAAGCAGCAGCTTGTCAATGATGTCCATGTGAAAAAGTTCGCCAGTCAGAGGTTAGTTGAGAAATAATTCATTTTGTGTACCAATCTTGATATCTACTATTTTTAAATCCCCACCAGGGAGGCCGCCTCTCAGCTACTGAAAAAATGCGATAATGGCCAACAAACACCGTCCAACATCAATTTCATCAAGCGCGCAGAGGTTCCGCTTTCTGGAGTGCTGAAGACGCTGTGCACCAACAAGGTGCAGGATATGGTGAATGTCCTATGCCAGGTGCCGGTAGGCAACAGCTTCGAGTTAATTCTTTCGGTGGCCACCGTCGAAGGACGCCTTAAAACATTTGTCTCCCGCCTAATCCAGTGCAACGAGAACTCGAAGCCAGTTCCGGGCGAGCTGGGAAAGCTGTGCGTAATCCGCTCAACGCTGTTTGATGTATCATTCCTTATGTTGACCAGCATTGTGCAGACCTATGGATCGGATGTACTTAAATTACTTAAAATTTAGGTTCTCTGAAATATTAATGAGGTATTGTTTATTTCAGGTCGTCCTATCGGAGCGTGGTGACTCCTTCTTTGAGAAATGGGTACGAGAGTGCATGGTAGAAAGGAATAAGCTAAAGAACCCGCGCCAAATCCTTGCCCTTTGCGACGACAGTATTGTTGATGAGCTTCTGCTAAGTTTGAGCAAACCAGAGGCTGCGCAATTAAAGCCAAGCAGCCTGAGTTGGCAGGAGACCTGCTTAAACTTGCCAGGGGTGCTCCATCATGTGCTCATAGCCTGGGAGCAGGAGACCCTCTCTTCGGCGGATGTAAAAAGTATTCTGGACAATATAAAGCGGCGGCTTTTCAGCTTTTCTGTTTGCGCCACTAGTTTCCTGTGTGCCTACATGTATTCGGTGAAGGAAACAGAGCTTCTGAAGCCACTCAACATGATTCAGCAGTTCTTGGCGCCGTTGACTAGCGAGGAACTGTCCAGCCAAGAAAATGCTAAGGAGCGGCTAGCTCTATCTTATCAGATCATCAGAAAAATGCAACACGATGTGCATCCTGCCCCAAGCACCAAATCCCGCCTGATTTCACACTCCCCGCTGGTCGAGCAGTTCCGGGAGGTGTGGCGAACCGTAATCGATGCTGGTCACCTGCCCGTTCGCGCCGCTCAGTCACTGGAATCCCTGCTGCTGGCCGGCGGAGCGGCTTGGCTGTCCACGCAGCTGGTGGAGCAACTGCTGGCCTGCAAGTACACAAGGGATATGTCTCGAACGATGGATGTGGTGTTTGCCGTGATGCACCTTGACATCGAGAAGACCACGGAGGCGCTGCTGCAGTACGTGGTGGCTCCACTTATACTCCGTCGGCAAGGGTAAATATAAATCCATACATTAAGAGTAGCCTTTTGCTTTAATATGCAAGAGTCCTAGCATCACTTAAAGAAAACTGCTCAATGATTCTTACATATTTGTATGTTACATTGTTTATTTATATGCAAAGAATTTAACTCGTGGCGATTTAAAAAGAAGAGATGAAACTGCGATTGTAGAACTTTTCCTTATAACTTGATCTTTTGTCCATTTTAGTGAGGACATTAATGAGCCCCAATCTCTGGTGCTGGCCCGCCTGTGTGTATACTGTATTGTTTCCTGCCTGGAAGCCCGCAAAGGGAATGTCTCCTCGGCTTTAACGGCCATGAAGAAGCGATCGAGATCCCATGACGAGGAGGAACTGGCATCCAATGCAGCCAAAGTGCGCAAGGTGATTGGTGATGGCAGCGACAACTCCAGCGATTTTACTGATGGAGCAGCCGGTGCTGGTTTCGGAGCTCTACTGGGATCCACGTCCGCCACCGAACTGCGGACCACACCACTTACACTAAGAGAACCTCTGCAGACGAGCGTGCAACACATTTTCGGAGTATTCGTGCAGTTTGTCAGTGGAGATGAATTGTCGCCCAAGGCCGTTTTTGTCTATCAGTTCATCTCGCTGCTGGTGGAATGCGGTGGCGAGCGGGTAGCACCCGTTTTGCGCTTGCTTCCCACCAACCTGGTGCAGCAGCTGCTCAAGGTTCTGGTGACCGACGACATACGAGTGGGTCTAATAAGCAGACTTTACGACCTGAGACTCCAGGCAGGAAGGCTGTCGGCGGTGGCCGATTTGTGTCTGTGGCGGAACATGCAGATGGCCAGGCACAGCATACACCTGTGAGGAATTTCGAGAAGTGCCTCTCCAGGCGAGCCAATTAAGATTAAGAGACGGGCGGGCGAAATTGCTAAATGAATTGTATTAAAAACTAGAAATTGGTGACTCGACTCGGCTACTTCTTCGCACGCAGTGGATTTTGCTTTCGTTTATTACAATAATTTGTTGTCGCCGATTTTCGTCCGTGTTTGCATCATCATCATCATCATCATCTTCTCCAGTTAGCGGGTGTAGGGAGGGGTGTATGGGCAGGCTTAAAGTAAGAGACCGGATTCCCTATATCACTTGAGCAGACAGCACTCGAAGTAGGTCTCGCCCACACAGCCGCCGCGCATCGCCTTTTTCACATTGCTCTCGAATTGGCGGCGGTTGGTCTGCAGGACGTCGGCCGCCTCTTTGTTGAGCGGATCCTCGGGATTGGGTTCCTGCAAGCAGTAAATTAGGGTGTATTAGAATATATTAAACGATAGTTTAAGCTTATTTTAAAATCCTTAAATTGCCTTCTGTTTTAATCTCAATTATTTAATTTTGTTCTTGTAAAATAAATATATTTTAAGGAAAAAAAACAAAAAGTGAGGTTGTTTAAAATTGCTTTTGGATTAATTTCGATAAAATAATCAAAATGGATCCTAAACCTGTCTTTCGAGATATCCCAAAAACTCCATTATTAAATGTTAGATCAAAAATATAAAGACTAATACTCTGTAAATAGAGTGCAGTCTTTATCTTAATTAATTTTCCTCATGACGCATACGAACCAAAAATAAAAACTGCAAGCCATAGACGATGGAGTTGATGTTCAGCACTGGGTTCCAGTCCTCGCGCAGAATGTTAAGGCAGACGTTGCCCTCCAGGTCGATGTTGGGATGGTACACCTGGGTGGCGCACTTCACCTTGGGCGGCTCGTGCGGATAATTGGATCCGACGCGGAAGTTGAACACGAAGCGCCCGTCTCTGTAGAAGCCCTCGTCGGGCGAGATGATCAGCTTAAAGTTGAGCAAGTCATCGGGATCGGGAAAGTCTGTGGCGCAAGTGTTTGGCAGGTTCAGTTCGTTAATATCTGGGGGATGAAAGGCATCCAGAAATGGATGATTGATAGTCATAGAGAGCTGGTTAATATTCAGTGGATATCCCAGATGGCGGATATTACCTTTCTGGATGCGCAGCTGGGCAGCGGAGGATTTCTTCTGCTGACTGCCCTTTTGTTCGCCGTCTTTCTTCTGCTGCTTCAGCGTGAATAGTTTAATCATCTTGGCGTCCTCGTCTCGCTGGCGTTTCTTCTTCTGCGTTTGGCTGCGCTCGGATGTTTCGTTCTCTGTGGCACTTTTGCTGCTTAGAGGGCAGGGAGCATTGTTCGAATTGTCAGTGGTTGCTCGGCAATGGTTTGTTTGGATATTGGGCCTACCGTTTACTATAGATCTGATGTTAAAATCACTTCGAGTGCTTTCTTTCCTTTCCTTGTTTCTGTCTGGCGATGGCAGCTGCCAAGCGATAAGTATGAGTAATCGATGGTTGCGCCCGATGATAGCGATGGCCTTGGGTCGATAGTTGGGCAGTGCTGGAAGGCGGATTTGGGGTTCAGCTGGTTTCAAGACAAATCTGAGGGTTTAAGGTTAGAGAATTTAAATTTAGTCCAATAAAAAAATGACAAATTTAAATATTTCTAATATAAAGGTAAGATAATGTAATATAGTAAAAATATAGAAAGCCTTTAAATTCCGAACTCCTATTTTTATTTGTACACTCTTCTACTTTGACAACTATTTCAAAGCAAATTCCAAGTGCAAAATCCTCTTAAATTTTAGACTTTTCCCAGCTAGATTTAGATACTTTTAAAATGCCATCTCTAACGGAAACCAGGGCTGCCACATCCAGCACATGTTTATTTCCGGATTAAGCTCCCTTTGCGTTGTTTATTTTGAATTTCTGGGATTTTGACCATGTCGACAGAGCCTGCGGTGGCCAAGAAAGCAGTGCTGAAGCGTAGCGAGGCTCTGGCGGAGGACACGCCCCAAGTTCGGGGCTACGACTTCAACGAGGGCGTGGACTACAGTAGGCTCTTCGAGTCCTATGTGAACACCGGCTTCCAGGCCACAAATCTCGGCCTGGCCATCCGTGAAATCAACAGAATGGTATGTTGTTAGCTCAAAACTCAGCTCCAAAAAGTCACAAACTCCTAACACTGGCAGCTGGATTGCAGGGACCAGCCACTGGAGGCCGATCAAATGGACAGCCATGAGAGCGACGACTTCATCAGGCGGAGGAGCAAGTGCACAGTCTTCCTGGGCTACACATCTAATTTGGTTTCATCCGGCATGCGGGAGACCATTCGCTTTCTGGCCGAACACCGCATGATCGACTGCATTGTGACCACAGCCGGCGGCGTGGAGGAGGACTTCATTAAGTGCCTGGCGCCCACGTTTATGGGCTCCTTTGAGCTGAGCGGCAGGGATCTGCGCGATCGGGGAATCAATCGGATTGGCAACCTGCTGGTGCCCAACGACAACTACTGCAAGTTCGAGGACTGGGTGATGCCGCTGCTGGACGAGATGCTGGCGGAGCAGAAATCCCAGGGAACTGTCTGGTCGCCTTCAAAGATCATCAATCGCTTGGGCGAGCGTATCGGGGATCCCAGTTCTATCTACTACTGGACAGCCAAAAATCAAATACCCGTATTTTGTCCTGCCCTGACAGATGGCAGCCTTGGTGACATGATGTACTTTCACTCCTTCCGGCAGCCTGGACTCGTGGTGGACATCCTGTCCGACCTGCGAAGGCTAAACACCATGGCCGTAAAGGCAGTCAACAGCGGGATGATCATCGTGGGCGGCGGCGTCATCAAGCATCACATCTGCAACGCTAATCTGATGCGGAACGGTGCGGACTACTCGGTGTTCATTAATACCGCCTCGGAGTTTGATGGGAGCGACAGTGGCGCCCGGCCGGATGAGGCCATATCCTGGGGCAAGATCAGGAAGGATGCCACACCTGTTAAAGTATATGCCGAGGCCAGTTTGGTCTTTCCATTGATTGTGGGCGAAACCTTTGCCAAGCGACACCATTACGCCGGCAAAGAGTTGCCCCGAGAGACTAACCAAGTGTAAATATATATACGAGAAAACAAGGACAACGCAATCAACGCAAATGTACAGATGTAACTTATTAAGGAACGGTGCTGGGCCGCAGATGGGTTGTATTGCGAGTCCGGAATGGGAGAATGGGAGTCCCCAAAGTGTTATGCCCCGCCCAGATGCAAACTGTCCGGGCAGGAAGCCATTAAGCGTCGTCGGAGATGTTAGCTGCATGTGATAAACACCACCACCGGCAGCAGCACTGCACTCGGGCACCTCCAGTGGGCAATTCACATTCCGCCGTAATGGTTCTGCCGGAGTCGCTTTAGTGCCGCAAAAATGCAACTTTTGCCGGCGGCCGCAGATGCCATGTATACTCCTCCTTCTTGCCATAGTTTTACGCAAATATTCCCTTACTTCTGGCCTTAATTGTTTGCGCAGTTCGGTCTTGTTGGCCGGAAATTGCCCGGGACGGAACAGTGCATCCGCATAAGCCCACGAAATTTGTCATTAATTTTATGCCACTAATGTAAGCGCTCGGCTTCCGTCACTTCCTGAAAATTTCCTCCATTTTGGCCAACCAAACTTTGACTGTCTGTACGCATCATTAAAGCCAAGCGAAAACTTTTTTCGCACACTTACTTTTTGTCCCCTCTTTTTCCGGCTGCATCGACAGTTGGCGCAACACATTTTGAGCTATTGTCAGGCGGCAGCGGAGAAGGATGGACTAGCCGAAAGTTTGAGGATTGCAGGGGCACTGCATTTTCTTTGACAACTTTTTCCCAACTTTTCACTGGCTTTTCGGAAAATGAATGGTTTTGGGGCTGGGCTGGGGCAAAGAAAAACTACTTAAGCGTACATATGACAAGAATTGTGTTGGCTTTATCAAATTTTTTGAAATTTATACGCCTTTCAAGGCGAAAAAAATGGTTTAAAGTTTGTGTGGTGTTCATTTATTATACTTTCTTCTTTATGATAAAATTGAATATAATATGAGGCAGTGCGTTTAGCGAGCGGGACTTTATGTAACGATATTATAAATATTTTTAGCCAAGATGTTGATGGCGGTAGTTAACGTGCTTCTTATCGAGGACAGAACTGCGGGTTAAATTTTAGAAATAAAAATATTTCATTTCCTTGAAAATTATGTTCCTTGCCAAGAAAATCAATTGCACTTATTTTTGCAAAGACCATTATCGGCAGTCAGCCATCGTTAAGAAGTGCTTAACTGCGTGTTGTCATAACCAAAGGCACACACACTCTGTGGGTCCACTTAGGGTACATATATATACCCTCCTTTCACACACTCTTTCGAAGCGCTTAAAAACTAATTACGAACAAAGCTGTTGCTGCTCTTCCTACTTTGTTGTTTCTGGCTGCGTTTTCTTTTCTACTCTACGCTGGCTGAAGAAATGGTCACTACACTGAGAAGAAATAAGTACTAATTCTAAGATTAAAATTTAGGTTTATGATTTTTATAGTGACATACCAAAAATCCTATCGATTGAACGGAAAATAACGCTTTCCAACCCCATTTTAGATTCAGTCGGTTGTAAAAGGATTGTATGAACTAAGCCCATAGTGTTCTATTAAAATATTGACAAGCGAAAGATTAAAAAAAATTCGAAAAGGTATACCTATTTGTTCTATTATTGAAACGGATATAAAGAGTGATGAGTAAATTGTTATAAAATAATTTTTTTAATTAATACAAGTTGAACCTTTAAAGCTCAATTTCTGCAGTGTAAGTGCGTAGATGATTGCCGACTTTCCAAGACTACAGCCAACTTCCCTCCGTGATTACGAGAAAATTAAAACTACATTAAAAGTTTTGCAGTTGACAGGGACGCAGGCGGTGAAAAGTGAGAGAGGGGTGGTGGTGAAACTTTTCAAAACAACTCAACGATTTATTGATTCAAACAAGAAAAAGGAAAATATATAGGAAAGTGTGTGGGCAGGGTGTTATCGTAAGAGGATTACCATTTGTTTTCGGACAGATCGCTGAGTGCATCGAATAGCTTTTGCAGATCTTCGGCGCTTTGGGATTTTTCCAATTTGCCAATCCTGTATGTTTGATCTATTGGTCCTGTTCTGAAGGATTTCTCCCTCTGACACAACTCGCACTTTGAGATGCTGTGGCTGACCAGCTCTTCGGGCGGAATTCCTGTGACTGCCAGTGTGGCAATGGCCTGGTGCCTCCAAATGAAATCCTCTCGCCGTTTCAGATCCTCAGAAAGCAACCTCAGCCTCTGACGCTCCTGCCTCAAGGATTCGTGTATCCGGCGCAGCTTCCCCTCCTTCTCCTTGAGACCGTCCTTGTCATGCCTCAAAATGTGATCATAAAGCATCCGGACATTGTCGTCCCTTCGCGAGCAGGCCTGTATCACCATGTTATTCAGTGTGTCCTCCAAACAGAGATCGAGCTCAGCGATCTGTGTACTGGTTATCAGTTCCGTCCGGAGGAAGGGCTCCAGGCAGGTGGCCAGGAAGTTGAGCCGGACTGAATCGCCCGGCCAATCCCTTAAAAGTTCGATGGCCGTCCGGCAGGCCAGATAGATACTCTCCTGACCGAGCTCTGGCTTGCCTCCCATGGACTTGTCAGCCATCTTCTTCTCCAGCATTTGGTTCCTGCTCCTGTAGAGCCTCTCCGATTCCACCGTGCGGATGTGCAGCGAGTCGATCTCCTTGAGGAGATCCCGGTTCGCCTGTTTAATGCCCTCGAATTCGGGTGTGGGAAGTGGCTGCACCGCGGCTACGTCCAGGGAGCAACGACTATTGCCACCGCCATAGCTCGAGGCATTGGTTTCCGTTTCCTGGACATCCTCGACCACCGGCGACTGCTCCTCCACCGTCGTCCCATTGTACTCGTTCAGCAGATCATCCATGGAGCGGTTCATGCTCTCCATTTCGGTGAAGGGTTTACTCAAGTGACCGATCTCCTGCAACTGTCTGTACATCAACATCATCAAACAGTTCCGGGCGAACTTATCAGATCCCTTGGCCTCCTGGAAGTGGTTCATCCAGAGCTGGCTAATGGCAAAGTCCTCCTGGCTGACTGGGTGCTCCTTTGAGTACGATCGCAAGTTGCGCAGCTGGGCGGCGAAGTGGCGGTCCAGGGCGCACTCCTTTGGATTGCTCATCCTGTAAATCCTTTTTGTAAAGTTTTTGGAATTTCGATTTTAATTTTTGTATTTTTTTTTGGTTTAATTTTTATGAAAGGCGGAGAAAGAACAATTGATCGAAAATGTAAAAAAGGGTCTAGAAAAATACTAATTTTCGATATTGACAGATTTCTCTATTTTATAATAGATATGAAACCTCTCTATATGAAACATATGTATTAATTCAGTTTTGGGAACTGTTGGCATTCAATGAGTTATAGTACTGACTAATTTTATTTCCAAAAATATATTTGATTTAAAAATAATTTGGACTTTATAAAACCAAATATCTATGCGAAAAAATAACCATCGAAGTGCATAATCAAAATGTAATTTTGCGGAGGCCAAGTGGGCCTAGGAAACCCGGCAATGCCCTTTACGAATTTGGCCCGCACGTGCCAAGTGTGCGTGTGCACCAACAACGGCTTGAGTTGGCCCAGTAAGTTGGAGCGGAGTCAAAGACTTTGAGTGGCGATGTCAGCGACGACAGCTGCATGTTTAAGCGTGGCCTTCTCCGGAAAGCAAACTGGGTATGGACCCTATATAAACTGGCCAGTCCGAACAACTCAACATCAAATCAAGCTCACAGCTCCAGGTATTCACTACAATCAACCAAAAAAAACCAATCAACAATCAACATGAAATTCGTAAGTGTTCGAAGGACCTATGGGATTTTAAGGATTAACTAATTAGGGGAATTTGAATCCACAGTTCGCCGTCTGCTTCTTCGCTGTTGTGGCTGTGGCTGCTGCCAAGCCTGGTATTGTGGCTCCTCTGGCCGCCGCTCCTCTGGCCTATACCGCTCCCGCTGTGGTGGGCAGTGCCGCCTACGTGGCTCCCTACGCCTCCAGCTACACCGCCAACACGGTGGCCCACAGCGCCGCCTTCCCTGCCGCCTACACCGCCGCCTATGCCGCCCCTGCTGCCTACACCGCTGCCTATACCGCTCCCGTCGCTGCCGCCTATACCGCTCCAGTGGCCCGCTTTGCCGCTCCCTACGCCGCCCCCTACGCCGCCGCCTACACCTCCCCTCTGGCCTACAGCTCGCCCTATGTGGCCAGTCCCTATGTGGCCACCGCCGCCGCTCCTCTGTTCCTGAAGAAGTAAATCAATGGATTGTGAACCCTGCCGAAAATAATTCCCTGTGAGCATGTCTCATGGCTTGGCTTTTATTTTTCTAGACCTCAATAAACGATTTTAAACATGAAGTAAACCTTTTTAAATTTAATGGAGATTGTTTTTTCTTTGGGGGTGATGTTGAAGATGTAAGCCTATAAACCCATCGTATAAAGAATCATTAAAAATCGGTAAATATGAGGAACCTTAAGACGACTAAGTTAGTCTGTTCAATAAAATACCTCGTATCTACAAGATACCATCTAAGATCTATTTAGAAATGATTGCCAAAAGAACCTCAATGAAAATTATAGCAAATATTTAAAAATGTGGAATTTAATACATGGGATACATAAATATAAATGAAAATTGGTTTTATATTTATTATATTATATTCCAAATTTATTTATGTGTGTGTATATAGCAATATATGATAAATAGTTTACTTTTAGGGCATTGTAAAAGGTTTCAGAGAATGGAAATAAAAAGAATTTGATAAACAATAAAAAAAGGCAGTGAAAAGTTATAGTTTAGTTTCATAAAAAGTTAGGAGCACTTAAGTGTAAAATCATTGCATATTTATGAGCGCACATCCTGTGAACCCCTTAAAATTTGCAGGTTGCGTGCATTTTTGTCACCTTTCGCCGCCTTTCGCTTGCCTTAATGGCACAAATACCGGAAATACTTTCGAGAAGCCATCTTCCTCCTTATCCTCCATCACCCCTCCCCCACTCAAACTTCCGATCTGGCCCTACTTCCTTATTAATTTCTCGAACGCTGCTTTGGTATTTTTTCAGCCCGCCTGCCACTCATAAATTGCGCAAATTCCTTTTGTGAGCGTCAAAGAAAAATGTCGGCAGGACGATGAGAGTGCGAAGGAGGTTGGAGATGTGACCACCACATCTAATTTCTCTGCATGTCCTGAGCACGCTTATTAAAGAATAAATCATTTGATGACTGCCACTGGCCCGGCAAAGTGACCAACAAATACGTCACAAAGGAAGAAACCGGCAAACGGCAATCAACCCAAAAACTGAAAAAAAAACAGAGAAGAAGTAAATGGGTGAGGTCCCGAGCTTCGAGCTTCGAGTTTCGAGTCCCGAAAGGACTGCACTGGCCGGACGGTTGGCCAAAGTACATTATAGTCCTTGGTCGTTTGCAGGCGGCAACAAATGTAGCAGAAAACCGCAGCCGAGAGTAGTGCAATTAAATACAGGAAATAATGGCCACCACAGCACTAGCAGGAGCAGCTCCTCCACCCCTCTTGCAGCCACCGGGTGGTGCGGTGTCCAGGCGGTGGGTTCGTTTGGCCTGGTGGCTCACAGGAAGCGACAGGATGCAGGAAACCCTCGCCCAGCATCTTGGCCAGCCCCAGAAGCTGCCCGCAGCTGGCCAGCAAAATTTAGAGGCGGAAAGGAAAGAATCCAGCAGCATACAGCCAATCCAGCCAGTTGGAAGCCGGTGAACGCTATTATGTAGACACATTAAACGAAGATGGCCCTGGGGAATCTCAGAAGTGAATGGGTCGTACGGGGCACTATTTATCTTTTAAGTATTTTCCAGATGGATGATTGTGGCGCAATTAAATGGTTTCACTGCACTAGGACAATCATTTAGGGGGGTTATTTTTATATTATTTGTTATAATTATTAAATAATCTCTTTATATCTCTTTATTATAATTATTAATTATTATGGCTTGGATCTATTTTTTTCGATCAAAAATACTGTATATTTTCGACGAATAATGATATTAAATTATTTAATCTCATTAATTATTATCACATATTATTAATATTTTCTTCTAAGATCTATTTAATGAAAATATTAAGGCGAAAACTAATGTAGTACTCTTTCAAAAAAGTGTAACTAATAATATATTTGTTTTATTGATAACTTTTTATAAAGCAAAAAGAGAATTTGTACCTTATATTTACAATTATAGTTTTAAAAAATGTCCAACTTCTTAAAACTTTTAAATTGAAAGAAGGACATGTCCTGCGTTTAATTTCAAGATAATGGTCAACTTTTAAGTGCCACATTTCTTTGGCCATGCACTCGCATCACATACTTTGGCCAACTTTTAGTTGACGAAGCAATAAGCATTGGGCAACTTTTCCGGCACCAATTTTTAATCGAAATTCCTTGGAAAATAGCTTTATTTACGCCCGGAAGAGTTGACTTCTTAATGTAGCGCATTCCAATCGGAGGACTGGACAAACCATCTCGGAGACAACATCTGGTTGCGGTTTTACCCATGTCCTGTTTAGACCAAAATGCGTCTCCGAAGTACTCGTACATCTCAACGGACATGTTTGCCTGGCATTGTGTGCGAGTGTGCGAAATATTTTATAATTCAATTTTCAATTGGCAGGATTGAATCCGTAGTTATGTATAGAGGTATATGCCGGCATATCCACAAACTATACGAATTCTACGACAGCATGCAGAACTGCATGGGTTGTCGGGGCTCTAATTGAATTCAATGTGCACTTAAGCGACATCCGTTCATAATGAAATTTCGCAACAAAATTGTGGCAAGGACAAAAGAGTCGGCAAATATTGTTGCTATGCTAATGCAAAGTTTTTGCCTCCCGTACATTGCCTTATATAGGTATATATATATTTTTTTATTGCACCATAAATAATGTGAAATCGGAGATGGTGATGGGGGCGTTGTATGGGGTGAGAAAGCAAGGCCTGGCAACGGAGAAATTGAAATTAAATTGCCGTCCGACTGAAGGAGGAATCCGATGCCAAAGCAACAAGAAGGCTGCATGGCCATACATACACACACAATATATCTCCATTGGTACATGGTAAATACATTTCTTTATACTTTTTATTCCACCCCGGCCCTGCCTTATTTCATTTGACTTTTTATTTTGCACTCTGCAAATAATCGATTGTCAGTCAGAACCAACTGCTGTCCTTCCATTTGACTCTCCATCGGAATGTTAGCTAAAGTATGAGCAGCTGCTTCAATATTGCGCATAGCATTTCACAATTTCGCACACTGCAGGAAAATCGAACAAAAACTAGAGCTCATAATTGGCCATTTTAAATAGGGTCATAATAAGCAGTTTAATTAGGGGCGTAATAAGTAGTTTAATTGGCCTATTTAAATTGCACACATATGCCACTTTGTTAACCAGAACACATTTAATGTCAATATACATCTATTAAATGTAACATACTAATCATTGCACTTCTCTTGATGCAAATAATAATATTTAAAATGTTTTAGAAATATTCATTGTTTTAATAAATAATTATTTTAATCAAAATTGTATCTTGCAATTTTATTATATTTATAATAAATTCAAACAAATGCAACTATTTGAAGAATATGTACAATGTACATATATTTTTGGCACTCTCTCTACGAACTAAAATATTATACAAAAAATGAAATCATACGGTGATTGGAAATGATTTAATATTTAATTCCAATTTTCAATGATGTAGTTATGCAACCAAAACCAATCCCGAATTAATCGCTTTCCACAGTGTGATTTTCACAAGGCAATATGGGTTTTACTGTGTGTTGCGTAAAATTCCTTACGATTGACTTCGCCTGGCGTTCTATTGATTGATTTGCAATGCCCACGAGCGGCTGGCTGACTATCAGCTTCTCGGGCTTCCGATGGAGCAACAGCTCCGGTTCACGTTGCGTATGCGTAATATTGTTATGCCACATCCTTGCACGCTCCCTCATGGAAAGTTTGCCCAAGAAATTCAAGCAATGATCAAGTGTACATTTTAATGAAGCCGCCTGAGTACATACTCCGTATATAAATACAATAAATTTGAGCACCGAAATCAACTCCATTGCATGCCAATTTCCGGACCAAAAATATGAGCCTTTTTATACGTTTCGTAGTCGAAAAGTTTTTTCATTAAAACTCCAGAATGGTGGCAAGTTTGGCCGAAATGCGGGGGAAAAGCTGGCAAGCCCAGCTGGGCTAAGTGAGTGCAAAATGTTATTTTATTGTCAACAAGCAAAGTTGTTCCAAAAACACTCGGAAGACGAAAGCCAGAGAGAAAGCCGGAGGACTTGTCGTGGCTGATGTCAAATTTATTTAATATGCAGCATAAACAAAGCAAAAAGGACACGACACGCTCGTAAACTCATTTGCCAGCGAAAACAACTGTTCCCACTTGACGCTGCTGGGAATTTTTTAATACGACCTCAAGGACTTTATCCCCCCCCCCACTTACCTTATGAAAAATAAATATTTTTGTGTTTTATATCCAACGCGGACGGCAACGCCCACAAGTTTTTTCATTAATTTGCTCAGAGGGCCGAAAAAGCGGGGGTGGGTAAGAAGGCATTCCGAAGGCATTCCCTAGAAGTCAATAAAAGTGTTGTTTTAACTTCTGGCACTTTTTTCCCTCCTCAACAGTCATTATCAACTTGTGCTGTCAACGCAGTCGGGCAGCATCTGGATGAAATTCCATAATTTTTGGCGACAAAATTGAATTGATTAATAAAATATGAGCTGGCAAGCAAGAGGAAGTTTGCCAAAGGAGAAGGACAAGAAAGTAATTCCTTAGGATTTGAAGGGAATCGAAAAGTTGCCTTTGTCAAGAAAGCAGAATGGATTGTTAGTGCTGTTAAAATAATAATCTTCTTTTGGTCACTTTAATCTATCGAAAACTAAATATCTTTTCACTGTTTTTGGTCTCCCATAAGCTTAAACACTAATCGTTTATGTATTTTTGTAAAGATACCTTCATTGCTTTCATGATAGCTGTATTTGATTTGGCAATATTAACTATTAAAAACTTTAACACAACTTTTTGGTTTTGTTTCAATCGTAACAAGTTCATTGTTAAAACAATGGCAATGTTTTCATTTTTCTTTTGTCATAAAAACGTTTGTTTTGATTACATATTTTTAATTTGCTGGCGAGCGAAGTTAAACACAGTTTTTATATTCGCAGCTGGCAGTGATTCCATCAGTTATGAAAACATTTCAGCTTTTCAGGTTTGGTTAACATGCAGATTTCAGCGGCAAACTAGTTGCTAACTTTTTTAAAGACAGTTTCCAGCTCATCTTGAATTCGTGCTCCCCGGCAACCATTATTCGCATGCCATCTGGCTAAACCAAAGCCAACAGAGGATGAGGATGAGGACGAGGACAGGAAAAACACCGAGTCATCCATATGCATGATGCATGTCGGTAATGGCATTTCCAAGCCAACGACAAGTTGCTTAAAAAATCATCAAAAAATTCGCGTTAAGTGCTGGAGGTTGGCGGTTCGTCCCTCACCACATCCGCATCCATACCACGATGGGGCATACCACCTCCCCATCCTTATAACCATTCCCACGTATATCATCCACATCTGTCATGCTCTTTGCTGCAGATGCGGTTGGAGAAATGCACGAAAATGGAAAAGGGCCAAGAACGGAACTAAAACCGCACTCAAAAAGCTGAAAGCGGCAAGAAATTGGACTGACACATTCCCCTTAAAGCTTGAACTCAATATGTGCATAACTTTCGCTTTCCGGTGACAGAGCCCCCGGATCCCGTTCCTTTAGAGCCTTTGTCCCAGGCAATCTGTGACCCAAATCCAAGGACCGACCGCCTTAAAGCCTAAAACAAACTGTGTCAGTTGGCAGCCGCTCCTCCTCCGCTTCCCCTCCCTATCCCCCCACTTTCCTACTTGACTTTTGTACCGCCCCCAAAACACTATTTCCCCCACCCCCTCTATACATCCTTTGCCGCTCGCATCAAAAGGCAAATATTGGCACTTGCCGCAATAACCAGGTAAGCTCAGGCTGAGTTGCCCTCTATCGCAGACTCGAAAATGGGTCACACTACAGTGGGGACTAGTTTAAAGGGACATCGCCATAATTTCTTAGTTCTAGGCTTACTAGCTTTAAGTTTTTAGGCCTTTATAAGGCCTTAAAAGAAATTTGAGGTAAAGCTTTAAAGTATTCAAAAAATTAAATATTTAATAATTCAAGTTCTAAAAATGTATTACAATATATGTATTTAAAAGGATCTGCGTTAAAAATCTCTAGTTAAGATTAAGCTTTTTGGTGTAGGGACTCTTTTGAAAGCCTTTAAAGGAATCTGAATATATATGTAAGTATCCATTGCAATTATGTAGCTCCCGAAATTTTATAGTCACCTTTAACATTTTATAAACATAATAAACATATAAGTATACCGCTAATATATGCATGTTAGGATAGAGTTCTGTAAAACCCTACTGTTTTGATACCACCTGTAGTTCGAAAAATGGATGCCTGCATCCTAACGTACCTATGGAAAGTTGAGGAAAATTAGAAGCAAACTTGGGGTCTTTGGAATTGCGTCACAGATGCGGCTTCATGACTTTAACCCTTCAACGGCAAGTGGACGGGGGCTGTGCGCAGAGCAGCAGATTGCCATGGGTTAAGTCTCGCACAATCCCACACATGGCTTTGAAATTTTAATGGCCTTTAAGTGAGTGAACAGGGGCGTGGCTGTCGCGCCTAAATTAACAAATTAATGCAAATGATTTGGAAAAACATTCAGCTCGGCTTGTTTTTCAGTAAACCCCTGAAGATGTCTCGACTTGTGCTTAATTTAATGAATATTTATGAGCCAGCTGCCTGGCTGTGAGTTCTTTTTTTTTTTGCAGCTTCTTATTTTTGCATCATTGCGATGACTGCATTTCGATTTCAGGCTCTAATTTAATTGCAGCCGGGAGGGGGAAGGGCAACAGGAGCAGCTGAAGCAGGAGAACAACATCCGTTTCCGCTTGCCACGACATCCCGTCAAGTGCGGCAATCGCATTAGAATGCGCAGCGGACCTGTCCTTCGTACCACCGTCCTTTGCCTGACGGATGAGCTGGCAGGTACTGAGCACCCTCCTCCTTCTCCTGTCCGTCGATCATTGCACTTTGGAGACCGGGTTCCGAGGTCCCAGACTCCAACTCCGGTTACAACACAATGCCAGCCGGAGGCTGCAGCGACTCCTGCTCGCTGCACTCATTTAATTGCATTATGCCGCAGGCTGTCGCATTGCCCTGAAAGTCCTGGCACTCCGGCACTCCAAAGACACTGCATTAATTTGCATGCGAAAAACTGCAGACCCGCCGTTGTTTTTGTTATTTTTATCGCTGCTCTCTGTTTTCGCCCCGAGTTAATGAAGTCAACAAGCTGCGGCTGCATTTCGTCAGACTGAGGAGCTGCGGGCCAATAGGGTTTGCCAGGAACAATGCAATATACCATTTCACTTAGTTTTACTGAGGGGCAATGTTCATGTTTCATTCATAGTTTACTATCCAATGTGTCACGAAAATCTCTGCAGGTTGGCTTGCGAGGAACAATTATAGGTAGCATATAGGAAAAAATTAAGAGATTGATTGATTGGGATTACCCGACTTGTTATTACTATTACAAGACATGTCATTCAAAATGTCATTCACAAAACAGCTGATTTATAAGTATTTACATATACATTAAAAAGGTTAAAAAATGGTTTGTAAGTGTTGTATTATGAGAAAAAAAACAAACGTAGGCAATCCTAAAAAATTGTTCATAATGTTTTTACATTACCATTTCGTATTTTGTTCTTAAAAAAACTTAAAATATACTAATAATTCTACATATATTACTATGGAGGATTCTTAAAACACAATCCTTTTCTAAATTTTTTTTCATCTTAGGCAACCAACTATCTCTATCTATCTTAAACCCTTTTTTAAATTGTAAAACAATATCTTTTTATACCTGCGTCGAATAGCAAACTGTCCTGGAATTTTCGGCAGCAATGCTCGTTTTTCTCCCCACTTAAGAAGTGACTTCGACATAACCAGGATATGCGAGCACGCGCCCCGAACCTTCGGATGGTATTTCTTATCCTCCGATGGGCACTTGCAGCCTTGTCATTGTTGCTGTACCGAAAGATATAGATGAACTGGCCAGTGGGTCGGCTCTCGTAGACCCGAAGGATGGTGAAGGGAAATATCTTTCGCATCTCCTGGTAAACTTGCCAGGGCCTGAGCGACTGCACCCGGCTCAGCACTAGCTCGCGATTATTCTCGGATGTCATCACCCTGATGGGGAGGTTCATCTGTCGGAACCGCCTCGGCAGACTGAGAGTTGTAATCGGATAACATTATAATCTAATCTTAGAACCCCAAAAGAAAACTCACTATCTCAGCGCTGCTTCCTTGAGGGGCGTATTGACATATTGCAGGTAGGCGTATCCACGACTATAGCCCGAGAAATCGATCTTAAAGCGCAGGGCGTAGATCTCACCCAGTTCGCTGGCCACCTGCGCGATCTTCTCCGGAGTGCAACGCTTGGGTATAAAAGTTAAATAGAGCTGAAATGAATAAACATTCGACCTACATATACAAATTTGAAACATTTAATGTTCTTAAATGAACCTACTTCACCCGCTCCCTCTTCCAGCGAGAACTTCAGAGTATCGTTAAGGACAATACGAGTGGTTATGGAAATAGTGCCATTTACTTGACTTTTGCAATAATGCCTCTTAAGACTCTCAAGATCCATTTTAACAAAAAAAAAAGTAAAAAGAAAATAAAACAACACGCGTGCGCAGAATAAAAAAACAGAAACTTCAGTGTGACCAAATAAGCTAAATAAATTATAAGCCTCAAGGCGTTGCCAGATAGTCAGTTTAACATTGCGATCGATTCAAAAAACGAACTCTTCTAGATTAAAAAAAAATGTTTACAGAGAATACCAACAAAGAAAACTTAAGGTCTTTAGAAAGCCGTATCGAATTTGAAATTTTAGTAAAGTAATTCTGAATTTTGGCCTAACCATTAGTCGACGGAATTTTTGTCAAAAGTTAGGATTTTTAATAATCTCATCAGTTTAACACAAGTTTGACATATCACAAAAAACAATTTTTATAAAAAAAAATATCTCAAGAGGACCCCATTTGCCTGTGAGGTCTTTTATTAGCCTTGCTGTGAACTCTGACTGCACTATAACTAAGGTATTCTATTTTTGCGAGGTACGTTATGCATTTACTTTACTTTTTCTAACCGCTCTTTGCATGTCAGGCCATTTCTTTGCTCTTGCCTGCTTTTTGCTTTGTTTTGACAGGCTGCGCGTGCTTTTTTCTAGCTCATGTTTAACAATATAAATTTATGCAGCCAGGCAGTCGGGCATTTGCAACTTTTGCTCGCAGTTCGCCACAAGCCGCAGCACCTACGTATCGTCGTTGTTGTTGTCGTTGCGGTTAGGCCGCCCATCAGCCACCACCCACCACCCATCACCCACCGCCCACAACCACCCACTCACCCCACCAGGGGGCATCTTGATGGAGGTTGCGGTGCACTCAAGTGCCTGCTGCCGCTGCCACTGCCGCTGCTGCTTCATTTTCCTAATTTATACGCGCGCTGTGCTAATGAAAATTTACGTGGCAACGCAACCGCACACTGTTTTGTTGCCGCTGCCGCTACACTTAGAAATAAATTATAATAATTGCTTGTATGGCCATGAATAAATTTTGCATATTTAAAATACAATCACAAAGTCCTGAAAAAAAATTAAGAATATTGTTCGAGTAGTACAAACATTAGAGTAAAATGAAACATAAAATCCTTTCCTCTCCCATTTATTTTGACAATTTTCGAGTAGAATGAATGTTTTCGAAATCTATCAAATATTTTAAGTTCTAGACGGTATAAAAATCCCAATCTTACTTACAAATTACTCATATAACACGTATACCAATTTAATTTTTGAACAAAAAATCGTTTTCCTTCTTCTAACCTTGTGAATATATAAAAAAAAACTATAAATAGGTTGAAAATTAAATAGACTTTTGGGTTGTAGTCCAAATTTTTTAAATCAATGCGTAGATTCTCTTTAAAATTTTCATACAATGGTGGACCGGACCTAATGTAAATATTTAGTAATAACACCTGTAACCCGAAAAACGTTTAAAAAAAGTTTTTCAGACAAATATTTTAATGTCAGTTTATAACTATAAGATTGTTTTGAATGGCACAGTATTAAACAAGTTTAATACATATATTAAAGATTCAAAAGAAATACCCTTCTTAAGAAATTGATTTTTAAGCTTTGTATATAAGCTTGTGTGTATTTTATTTTCAGTGTGGTGTTGCCGCTCCTTGTGCTTGTTACCAGACTTGGGCCCACCACTTGACGTATCCCTGAGAAACCCTAAGCTCCACTTTTGGGCCACTCGGTTCCTTTTGGTAGAGAAACGCTCGGTGACAGCCGCAAAGTTAGGCCACATAATCCCACTCCTGTTCCGATTTCAGTCGGCGGGTGGTTTTCATTCAAATTTTCCGGTAAAACAAAAGAAACACATTTTCGGAAACACATTTTCTAAAAATAGTCCAATCTTGCTGAATATGCTAACATGGCATCCATAGAACCGAGCGAGGAGTTACTGGATCGCCATTTCAGGCAGCAGGTGGCCATTTACAAGGATGTCGATCTGGCGAGGGCTTTTCAGTCGGATCGCCTGATCATGGCCAGGTGGATGAAGGTGTTCGAGAGGACTCCGCTTAGCCAGAAGCTGGCAAGGAACAGTCTGATGTTGCTAATGCATGGTCACATGAAGGACTTTGGTTTTCTCAAGGAGCCGTTCACGGATGTGCGGAACTGCAGCCGGAATCTGAATGAGATTTTGGACGTATACAAAGGTCACTCATGCAAGAAGGTATCTTCCAAAAGTAATACAAAAATCGATACGTCTACTAAATCCATTAAAAATATTCCGGAAACTCAACCAAAGGAGCAGAAACGTATTGGGGAAAGCAAATCATCTTCTTCCTCCCGAAATGTATCAGTAAAGAGGACTTTTACTCATATCCCTCGATCTATGAAACTGGAACCCATCAAAGAAGTTTCCGAACCTTCGGAAAAGGAACCCACCACAAGCAGTATTGCCAGCATAGTGACGATAATTGAAAGAGCCAAGACTCGTTCTATTTCTTCGCAAACAAGTTCCAGTTCGCAGAAGACTTGCCCTGAATGTGTTACTGAGGTTGAAGGACAAAGTGTAAGAAAGAGGGTCCAAGACCTAGAAGAGGGGCTTTCAAATAATGAAGAGCACCCTTTGAGTGTTAGTTCCATGGAGAATATGAAGAAGTACTATCAAAAGTGGGCAAGTTATAGTGGGGATTCTGCTTCGAATCGAGAAAGCGAGAGAGCAACCTCCACATCGCAAGAGAGACTTCAAAAGATAACCAATGTTATAGATCAGGTCACCCGCAGATCGAGTGCTGTGAAAAACCTAAAAGACTGCTTTGAGGAAATGGCCGAACGTTTGAGAAACACTTCAGAGCCTGAATATTCCATTTCCGAAGGACGAAAACCAAAGATTCCGCCCCCTGCGCCCCCAAAGAACTTCCGAAGGATCCAGGATGATGATGTTCCTGTTCTGATGGCCAGACAAACTGGGGGGAAATCGCTTCCCAAAGACAAGCCGGTTCAATCTTTATTGATTCGTAGAGAGAAGCTGCGTGTCCAGTGCCTGGAGTACTACAACTTGGATGGTACAATGAAGGATGTAAAGGATATGCCAGCTACCTCAATAGATACCAAGCGAACTGATCTTCGAGTTAAAGGATTCATAATTGGGGCCTATAGAGCCTTGGAACGTGTGAAACGATGGCGGGGAAAACCAAATCATTTGAGATTATTCAAGACTTGCTTTCGGGGATGTGGCTTGAAGGATTTCGGGAGATTGCAGGCACTGGATCGAAGATTCGAGCAGGTTGCTCTTAAGTGGTATCGCAAAAAGTTGTTCGTATGTCAACAGAACACCTGGCGTCGTTATCGTCGGAATATTTTGGCTCAAAAGCCATCGCCCACCAAGGCAGATCTGCTACAGATTCACCACCAGTTGGAATTGAAGGAGGAACTCCAGCGGGAGCGAATGGTACACCTGGCCAAGATCCGGGATCTTTGCAAGATCAACTGTTCCGGAGTCGTTAGACCGGAAGTCCATCGCAAGATGCTCAGTAGCCTGAACAATGAATACGACCAGCTGGCCGAAGATCTTAAATTAGTCGTCCTCGAGAAGGAGCAACTATTTCAGTGAATAACCCTCCAAAATCCGTAACTTTTCTCGCACCTGTTTTTGTACTTGCTTTACACTTGTAACAACATTAACACCGCCAGCTGCGCTGCTCATTAATTAATTTGAATACTACGCTTTATTAAATTAAAAAACTGGCAAAAAGGGAGAAAAGTAATAAGGGGCTTATGGGGTGAGGCAGGGAAAATGGTTTAAAGCTGGAGATGACTACACAATAAACAAACAATCTACTCGTAAACAGCAGCTATTTTTTAATTATGCAATGTTTCCGTTGCAGCTTTGCACAAAAACAAAGCTCAGCCTTCTTAAAAGGGTTAGATCGACAAGAAAAATACCCTTTCTTATATTCATTATATCGCTGACTTATGATTTATATTCTTCAGTTTTTATTGTAATTAAATACGCTTTAAAATAAATAAAAGAGTACGATAGTATGGTACATTTTTGATACACCTAATAATTAATACATTTGTAAGTCACTCAAAATTAAAGTTTATTCGATATCTGTTGAATTTTCCCATATTGTCTTGATTGCTTTCATTAATTGTGCAATCTTTAGATACATTGTTAAATTTTTTCTTCAGTTTAAATCTTTAAGAGGGTTTTAAAGATTTTCTTATCTTATTTAAAACTATAGGTGAACATTATTTTTACTTAGTTCCTATCTTGTTAAAAAAACAAACTATGTAATTGTTGATTATCCATGATATATTCGTGTTATTCATTACATTCTAACCCATCTCCTTCTGAGGTCTTTACCTTTCAGAACCCATAAACCCCAATTAGTCCCTACTTACCCAGGGTATCAATAACAAAGAGAAATACCAGAAAAATGGCTGCCAGCTGCGACTATTTGCCATTTTGTAAGCTAGCTGGGAATTAGCAGCCGAACCAGCCAGCGACGAAAAAAAGGGGCGGAAAAAGGCAGGGGAAAACTGTCGCTGAAAGCGGTTTTCCAAAGTACTCTCCATCGAGTTGGCTGGGCGTGGTCCGTTGAAGTCCATCGGTGGTCAGTGAACTTGCCGCAACTTAATATCCGCAAGTATCGGCATACATACTCATTTATATACTCGTAATTATTAAAGGTAGGGCATAAATGATGGCTTCATCGGGCTTTCGGTTCGGTTGCGAATTTATGGTCTATATTCAGCAAAAATTTGCATAGAACGCTCTCTGGTCTATGGTCTCACCCTCTTGTCGGCGTCTGAATTAATTAATTATTTATAGCTTGCGAAACATTCTACCCTTTGGTTTCCCATCGTTTTGGCCATGTTTGCCCAGTTGCAAATTGTGCTGTCAGTTATGGCTTAAAGTGTCCTAGACCTCAGAAGGCTTTAAGCAAGACGTCATGCCTTGGATCTTATCTAACCGAAGTGATCGCAAAATATGGTTTTGTTTCAAACCCCCGATTTCAGGCTCATGTGCATGGCAGGCACGCACACATAATTATAATTTTTACAACGTCTAAATAAACTCAAATATTGTATTTTATTCACAGAGGCAGTTTCCACGGGGGGGTTTGGGGGCTAAAGTGACTCATAGAAGGGCGGAGCTACCTATACCCCTAGTAATGAATGACAGTCCCAAGAAGGTAGCGCGACATTCGCTGCTGGCCATTAATTGTAGAAAAACAAAGGGTATCAAAACTGATTGTTTGGCGTTTGGCAAACTTTGTGACGCAGCCGGAAATATAGCTAAATATGGGGAAAGTGGATACAGAGAAAGCGAGAGGACGGTTATGTAGTATTCTATTGTTTGCATAGTTATTTTTTGATTCTACAATATATTAAAAAATATATATATCATTTTGGTTCTAGTGCGATATTTTTCCTTATCACTTAGAAATATATATATTTTAGGTATACACAATATAAAGCTTTGCAAAATGTTAGATTACCATGATTCATATAAAAGTTGTAACTTTTTATAAAGACATTTCCTGTAAAAAATATGTTTAAAATAGTAATCCAGTTTCGTGAGCTTTTAAAAACATTTTAGCATTTCGAAAATTTTTGTGTTGGTTTCTGAATTTTAAAATGTGTTCACTGTATATTTTAAAGTTTATTTAAATATTGTAAAGATATTTCTTATAAAATTGTATCATTATTTAATTAAACTTTGTATAAGGACCTAAAGACTATAAGTCAATTTGAAATTCAACAGGTACGTTTTAAATATTTGATTATAATTATTTAAAAATAACTCCGATCGAAATTACATTTTAATAACTTTTTTATGACCTATAGAGTATTCTGAATTTTATCAATTTAGGTTTATTTATTTGTCGTTGTCTTATATATTTATTCTTTCTCAGCAATTTCAAATAGCATTAAGAATATAATTTATGCAACTCAGCGCGCTCAGGTCTAGCAATATTAATGATGGCACAACTTCTACGGCTCTCTCCCCGATTCTACCCAATTCTCCCCGATTCTCCCCGATTCTCGGTGATTCTCTTCGCCGGTCCCAAGCCAGTTCCCTGCCATCCAGCCAAAGGCTATAAATATGATTGACTGGCCGGTCCAATCGAGCAGTTAAATTTTGAATTTCGTTCGCACAGCCAGTCGGAGGAGCAGTAATCGAAAGGGAGCCATGTTGGTCAAGGTCTTAATGGTGAGTGTGCCGAGCTGCGACCGGGTGGTATACGTAGTACCCATATCTGGATATTTCAAACGTATCAATAATCCTGCCAGCTCGCATTGCTCGCGGTCCTGAGCCAGGCGAAGCCCCAGCTGTTGGTCACGACGCCAGTGAGTTATGCAACCGGGGCGGGGGGCACCTGGCTGGCCACCGCCCCCTCCTCCGCCTACTACCCCGCCTATGCCAGCTATCCGGCCTACGCGGCGTATGCGTATGCACCGGTTTATGGCGCATACGCCACGTATCCCTACTACCCGTATCTAAGGCGCTGAATCTGGAATGGATGCCTGTTGCTGTTGGCCTCTGTGCTGGTCATCTTAAATATTCAGTGAATTTGTGGCATTCCTACTTTATGTACCGTGCTATTTCTTAAACCAATGTTGAGGTTCCATAAATTAGAAGCAGTTTAATTTAATAAGGAAATTGTTATCCTTGAGAATATCTTGTTGAACATTTTTTCTTTTTAACTATGTAACTCCTATTATAAATAATAAATTGTCTGTTTTTAAATTTTAAATGCTTAATAGCGAAGTGCCTGTGGAATGATAAGTTTTCTTAAACGTTTGCGGCTAAACATTTATGACAAACTCTGGGTTTACAATAATAAACATTATAGGATCGTAGAAAAATGTGTTTAAGAATTTCGGAGCACCAGTTAATATTATTTATTTTAAATAAACAAGTTTTTTTCGAGTTGTTTTAATTTTTGCATAGTTTTATTTGGAAACAATTGATTTATTTTTAATTTAAAAAAAAAGTGTCTGTGGAACTTAACCAAGTTATAGTTCGAAATAAAAATGTCTTAAAGAAAAGTAGTACGACAAATGAACATTATTAAAATTCTAGTGATCTTACATCTCAAAAAACCTCCTACAGACTTAAGATACTTTCAGAAATGAAAGCTTAAAAATAGTTAAAATTTCAGATCCCTCAATGGGAATATTTGATGTCACTCTGTTTCTCTGTGCTCGGAATAATCCTGTTGGTAATGCTTTATTTTCCCTCGCGCTTGATTCGATTTGGCGCCTGAAATCAAAGCGGCATAAATACATAAAATGATAAACAAATCAATAAATGGCAAGAGGCATCATCTACCTTTAGCCAGGTTCTGTGGGATTTTCCATTTGGGTTTTCTCTTTTCCAGCATTTTCCCCCCCATGTCGCTCCTCAAATTTGCTTACATCTGCGCATATTTTCACTTGCACGTCTTCAGCTGGGAATAGGGAGTTGTGGGCGGGAAAAGTGGGCGTGGGGAGTTGGGAGTACGGAGTGGGGGTTTTCCGGGCAGGGCAGGATGTCGGTGAGTATATCTTGGTAACCCGCTACTGATTTACCTTACGTGTATAAATCTTTTATTCATGTAATCCATTTGAAAAACACGTTTGCACATGATTGTGTTCGTTTCGAAAAAAGGGAATCTTTCTTCTAACATATGTATGTTGTACATATATGTAGGTATGTTTGGGCCAACCGACTTATGTGCGGTCTGTGTGTGTTTGTGAGTGTGTATTTGATTTGAAAAATCGTCAAAATTATATAAAGTGAATACAAATTTCATTTGCTTGGTTTTATTGCTTCGCCAGTTGCCATACAAACATTGGTTGCCAATTGCCACGGCTACACCGCTGGCAATCAAAATAGTCACACTTTGACTTTTCTAGCGAATTAACGAGGGGTAAATAACTATTAGGTTTTGGAGAAGCCAGCAAAAGAAGTAGGAAAATGTGGGGAATGGTTTTTTATTTAGGTGGTACTTACTTTTGGTGATTGGGTAATGTAACATTTTTTAAAGAAACATAGAAGAATGTCTTAAGAATAATACCGATAAAAGTTTGGTGGTTACCTAGTTATTTTGTATAACCTTTTATATGTAGCGTAGTTTTAAAAATAAATAAAATTATTGTTGTTTTTATTTGCAACCCCGAAAGCTTTGGTTCATTATGTGTCCCAAATCCTTTCGACCAACTTGCCATCCTGCTTATCATATTTTCGCTTACCTTTGACAACTTTTCGGCAACAAATAGAGGACCAAAAAAATAAAATGGGGATGACAAACACGATAGGGCGACAACAAGTAATATTCACCATGGAAAGGCAAAAAGTTGCCCGAGCTTGACGCAGTTTTATTGAATAAAAGGTCATTAAATTTGGACGCTATCTGTTGCGAGCGAACTGGCGAAAATGGAGCAGCCATTTTCCCCTCGGCCCATTTTTCCCTGCTTGGATTTTACTAGCCTTTTCCGCTCAGGTAGCAAACTTTACAACTACTTGGAATTTACCACCTGAGCGAGGATGGAGGGACGAGGGGCGATGCCAAAGTTATGATAAGGAGCAGCAGGATACCGCCGAGGGGCAGAAGGCTCCACTCGGGCCTTTCAACGCGCAGGACAAAGTCAAGCAGAAAACTTGACTGGAGCCGCTGGCTGCGGACAGAACGAAAAAAAAACAGGAACAGGAGAGAACGCGCAGGAAACGCTGAAAGGAAGCATATTTCATATAGAAAATAAATCCTTTTAAATGGAAAGTTTAATCCTGGCCAAGGCAAAGCGCAGACTTGCCGCCTAGGTTCCGTTGGGGGGGAAAAGCGCGGAAAACGCGGAAAAGGCGGAAAAGGGGACGCCAGATGCCCGGCTTTCGATAAGAACTAAGCTGAACTGAACCGAGTGGAAAAAGCGGAGTACAAATTGCTCCCCATCACTGCTCAAAGCCAAAGGAGTTCATTTTGTTCGGGAAAATTGCATAGCAGAGGGGGAAGTTGTGCACTAAAAATAATATTAACTATAATAAATATTTAAATATGGCACAAATTAAATTTCCTAAAACTAAAGGAGTACAATCACTTAAGTTGCCTAAACATAAACAAAATAGAGATGACCCGATTGAGGTAAAAATATTACATTTAAGAACCCATCTACGAGTATATTACCATATTCTGCTTTAAAAGGGTTACAAAAAAATAACTATATAAAAGAAATTATACCATATAGAAATAAAATATAGTAAGATTCGAGAAATTAATTAAAAGAAGATCTTGAGAAATCAAGCAAATCTTTTAGAGCTCTAAAAAGGTACCAAAAATAATATACTCCTTCAACGTTCAGCAAATAAATGGTCGTATTTTTTTCTTGTCTTAATAAATTTGAATTTAATTAAGTAAAATGAGATGTTTCGTTTATAAAACCCATTGAAATTTGTTGTATTTAAATTTTGTTTAGTGAAATCATTTGAAGACGATGAGCATATCATAACGAATTTTCAGTGTGAATACTTTTATAAAGAAAAGAAATGCTTGGCTACGTTGGTATGTACAATTCTTTATTTACACAGATTGGTCAGGATGGGATTTTACAAGCGGTCTGTCTTACTTCTTCAGCAGAACGGGAGCAGCGGCGGCGAAGGGGGCGGTGTAGGCGGCAGCGAAGGGAGCGGCGGCATAACGGGCAATGGGGGCGGTGTAGGCGGCGGCCACGGGAGCAGTATAGGCAGCGGTGTAGGCAGCAGGGGCGGCGTAGGCGGCGGCAGCAAGGGGGGCGCTGTAGGCGGCGGCAATGGGGGCGGTATAGGCGGCGGTGTAGGCGGCGGGGAAGGCGGCGCTGTGGGCCACCGTGTTGGCGGTGTAGCTGGAGGCATAGGGAGCCACGTAGGCGGCACTGCCCACCACAGCGGGAGCGGTATAGGCCAGAGGAGCGGCGGCCAGAGGAGCCACAATACCAGGCTTGGCAGCAGCCACAGCCACAACAGCGAAGAAGCAGACGGCGAACTGTGGATTCAAATTACCCTAATTAGTTAATCCTTAAAATCCCTTAGGTCCTTAAAACACTTACGAATTTCATGTTGATTGTTGATTGGTTTTTTTTTGGTAGATTGTAGTGACTACTTGAAGCTGTGAGCTTGATTTGATGTTGATTCAATTGGACTGGCCAGCTTTTATAGTGACCACAGTGACCATAGCCACCTGAACTAGAAGGCCGCGTTTACCCATGCAGCTGACATCGCAGCTCAAAGTCTTTGACTCCGTTCCAGTTTAGTGGGCCAAGCCAATCCGATCCAAGCCGATCCCATCCATTGTTGCTGCACACGCACACCTGGCACGTGCCGGGCCTAATTCGATTTGACTTTGTAAACGGGGCCTGGGTAATTGAAATGCGACAGCCCACAAGGCGGAACAAAGGTCGTAAACCAATTATGATCGCAGAATCCCACTTCAGGGGTGACTATTCAAATCGCGAAGGATTTTAATGGATACCTCAATTATTCAGGGGTTACAAACTTGTGGAAGAAGAAATCTTTGCGATGCTGAAGGAATAGTATAGGGTAGTAGTCCATAATGCTTAGAAAACTTTTTAGGGCCATCGATTTGCAAAGATCTCTTAATAAATATAAGTATATGTCTGATATATTAAAACATTTTAGGATAGCTGTTACTTTACAAAGTATTTCCCCAGACTTTTTTAAACAGAAACCTTATATCACCGAACAAATCAACATTTTTGATAGCTATAACATTTTTAACTTTTCATTGCTAACCTTTTTTTAGGTTTTCAATCCCCAGCTAAACTTGAGCAAAGTTATAAAATGCAACAATTAACTTAAATTTAGCTTAGAAAGTTCGAGCGAAGTTAAATGTATTAATTTCAATCCACCAAACACTCAAATGGGTTCCTGGCTGAATTTCGAAAAGTTTCAACCACCCCTGCGTAGCAACTCCTCCACCGAGGTTTCCCACATCCTTTCTCCTCTTTCCCCAGGAAAACGGCTTTGTTCTCATGAATAATTTGTGGAAACCACTTAAAGGCGGTCGACCCCCCCTTCTTTTGCTGTTCTCAAATGTCGCTGAAATTTTCTGGACGAATTCAAACCAGAAATTTTTTAGTAGACTTCATCTTGATGTGGGCTTTGGAATACGGAAGCGGCTTGAGTTGGGCTTTTTTTTTGAGGTGGGCTGTCATGTGTGCCGCTCGCTTTTTACGGCACTTAAACGACGCATTAACGCGCACGCACAGCTGCTGCCACGCCCCCTATATCCTCCGCCTCCGCCCAGATCCTGATCCTGGTGCAGACATAACCCCGGCCAAGTCAGAGGCAGTTGCGCCTTTATTACGGCAATAAACTCAACTTGGGACTGGGCAGAAAACAAAAAAAGGAAAAGTGCCGCGAATATTTCACGCAACTTGTTCAAAGTTCCTTGTTGATGCCCTGCATCAAGGAACTTAAACAGGGTATCTGGAAAAATACAAGACCTTAGTTCTTGAGGCAAATATATTTTATACATAATATTAGTAAGACTTAATATTTTATAGTATAAAAGTGAAAGGCATGGTTAATTTTAGGCCCATTTATTTTTTGTAAATTCCTTAAATAATTGTTAAAACAATTTCTATAATTCAGAAGGCTTACGTTATTTGAAAGCAATTGTTTACAAGTATGTTTTTCATCTAGAAAATCAATATTAACTCCAAATCAGTGTACATTTTCAAAAAGGCTTAAATATTTTCAGCTTACTGTCATACTAATCAGTCTAAAATCAAATTATAAAATAATATATAAAGAATATAAAAAAGTCGGCTAGGGTTTTGCGATCTCTTCTTTCGGCTTCGAAGTCCTGGTCCCAAGCTTTGTCCCTGTCAAACGGAGCGAATTTTTGTGCTTGGCTTTTTGTGGAAATTTCTTGCTTTTTAATTACTTGCTGGCACTCGTGGATACATATACATCATCCCCGGCTCCCGGGGGATTGCTCTTTGATATGGTTAGTCCCCATTCGGGACCACTCGAAAGTTGCGGGCGCTGCACTCGAAATGGCTAAAAAAAAAAAGGAGATCGACGGGCGGCTGAGGAGGGGAAGTGCCATCAAAGCTTTTAGGCGGATTAACCAATATAATAATTTCAGTAGCAAGTCCTTGCCGCAAACTTGACAATGAAAGCAGCCTGTTGGCCAGGAGGGAAGTCAAGTGTCAAAACAAATATGTTTGCCGCCTGCGGTTGCCGGAGCAGTTTTCAATTCGAGGCCCCTTTCCCGGCTGCATGACTGTGCATTTAGTAGACACCCATCCTTGTCCGCATCCTCGTCCTCATCCACAAAGGGATCCGCATCCCGGCGCATTGGCAATAGGCTGGCTCGTATGCACAGGCACATGGCAAACACTTGAGTCCACAAAAGGAGCGAAGGAAGCGGCGGGATGCGCGCCAAATCCTTCGCCAGCAACATCATCATCAGTAAAGCAAACCAGAAGGAGAACTGGCAACAATTTGATGTACTCCAAAAAAATATTTATTTATTTATTCTCAGGCTAAAAGGCAATATTACCAACTCTTTGGGTGAAATCATAAATTATAAAAATATTTATAGATTCATTGCAAAATATTTCCAAAATTGATTGAAAACCACATTTTTTGAGATCGTGTTTGACCTAAAGGGTGTCGAAGAACTCTGTTCTCTTATTTTGATCCAAAATACTCTATTTTTTCGCGATTTTTCAAGCGTAGTTCAGCCAAATCGAGTCGTACCGCTAAAAGCCCGACTGTTTTGAGTAGCTAGCAACATATGCTAACAATCCCCATCATTTTTACGAAAAATAATATTTTGACCAATTTTCGCATTTTTTATAAGTTACATCGTCTATTTTTGCGAGAAATGGCAAAAATAAAAAATTTCCAGGTTTAAATGCTAATGGATTGGAAATTAAACAACAAGCTCAACGAGGTATGACATTCCTCATTCTGACCTTTGGTTGCATTGCGGCAGCCAAAATACTGATATTTTAGGGCGGTAAAATAGGATTAGGATTTTGGCCAAAAATATTGTTTTTTTAATGTGGTTTTTTAGTTGTAGTTTATTCAAATCAAAGCGTACAGCTAAAAGATCGACTGTTTTGAGCAGCTGGCTTCCTATGCTAACTATCCCTATCACTTTCCGGAAAATTTATTTTTTGACCAATTTTCTCATTTTTCATAAGGGGGTACATCATCTATTTTTGCGAAAAATGACAAAAATTTAAAATTTTCAGGTTTGAATGGTAATGGATTGGAAATTTAACAACGAGCTCAACGAGGTATGACATTCCTCATTCTGACCTATATTTGCCAAATATCAGCCAAAAAACGGACCTTTTTGGGGTGGAAAATATGGATTCAGATAGAAGTAAAAATGAAGCGGTCTTTAATCTAACATAATAAGTCGAATGTCTTGTAAAAACTCTCCACTCACTAAAGAAATTCCTTAAAATGTATTGAAAAGCCTAAGTCAAGAAAAACCTATGTATTTTGAGATTTGCGAAACCCCCAAAAAGAATATGAATATTAACATGGCAAGGATTTTTCCCGAGTGTACCCTTGCCACACCCCCCAGAAAGTACCTCCCTTTCGAGCAGAGCTTCTTTCAATCCCTTTTCCCTTTTCCCGCCATTTCATCGCCACACCCACCCACCACCCACAAATCCATTGCATTGCTGAATTCGCGTAATTGGCATTTTTAAGCAAAATTCACGCTTCAACACTTTTTCAAGTGTGAGACTGCCACTGCAGGAGCATCTGGATATATGTTCCTGAAAAGCCCTGAAAAGGAGTATGTGGTGCTGGGTGGTTTTGTGGCGGTGCATTCTTGCAAAGTGTGCTTTGCCACACACACGACACTCTGCACTCGATATTTCTAATTAGTGAGTTTTAAGCTCTTTGCCCGCAATTTGCGACATTTATTAATTAATTTCTACCAGCGGTGATTGTGGATTATTAGACGCTGATTAGCCGGATTTGTATTGTGGTCTATTAAAGCAGTCGAGTGTTAATGGGCCGGAATAAACTGATAATTTCCTGATGACGCATTGGAATAATAATCATATTTCACACGATTTTTGCTACCTTTTCGGCGTAGGTTAAACCCGCTAGACCTATTAAATTGTAAAAGCATTGCAGTCGTCAAGGTCAGGGACAAATCGCCAGGCGATTCAAAGTAACGGACGCTCAGGCACGCATCAAAAATAAGACATGGCCAGGTCTAGACCACGAAAACTAAAAAGTAATCATACAAATGACATACAGTAGCCAAGAATTGCGCATGCGCAACGTCAATCGAAAGTCGTTGACTTGGCAGCCATCGATGGCTGATCTAAAAGCGTGATCTGCATGGCCAATTAGCTCGGAAAGTGTAAGTGGCTATAAAAGAGCCGTGCAGCTCTCTGTTGGACATCACAAACCAATTGGCCATCCACCAAGTGACAAACCAAAAACAAAACAAATCAATCAACATGTTCAAATTCGTAAGTAGTAAAGAACTTGTTAGAACAAGGGATAAACTTTAAAAAAAATCTAAAAATTAGTGTTAAATTAAAAAAAAAGAAGTGAATTGACTTTAATTTTTCCGTGGAGTTTTTTATAAATAAAAAAAAAAGGGAAGTGGTGAATTGAATAATTAGTTCTTGAACAAAACTGTAAATACAGAAATCACTTGCATTCTCAAATAAAAATTCATCTGAGCAGTTCTTGAAACAAAATTAAAATAAAGAAATTACTTCCAACAAAAGTATATCTAATATTTTTATATTATTTTTAAAATATTGAAAAAAATGTTTAAATTATAAAAATGTATTATTTTATACTTTATATATATTTTGTAATCTCCCCCTTTAGGCTGCTATCTTCTTCGCTGTTGTGGCTGTGGCTTCCGCCAAGCCTGGTATTGTGGCTCCTCTGGCCGCCGCTCCTCTGGCTTATACCGCTCCCGCTGTGGTGGGCAGTGCCGCCTACGTGGCTCCCTACGCCTCCAGCTACACCGCCAACACGGTGGCCCACAGCGCCGCCTTCCCTGCCGCCTACACCGCCGCCTATACCGCCCCCATTGCCGCCGCCTACAGCGCCCCCCTTGCTGCCGCCTATACCGCTCCAGTGGCCCGCTTTGCCGCTCCTTACGCCGCCCCCTACGCCGCCCCTTACGCTGCCGCCTACACCTCCCCCCTGGCCTACAGCTCGCCCTACGTGGCCCGTCCTTACGTCGCCGCCGCTGCCGCTCCTCTGCTGCTGAAGAAGTAAATCAACGTATTTGAACCCTGGAGAAATATTGCCCCGTGAGCCTGGCTCATAGATTGGCATTTATTTTCCTTAACACCCCAACTTGTGATGCATTAAACCTCTAAGAATCTAAAAATGGTTTTTTATTTGGGTCACATATAAGGGTTAGGGCACTTTCTCAAGATATTGCATTTCTAAGAAGAAAAAAGAAAGTTAGCTTAAATAATTTTGAACCTGAGATTATAGGATCCAAACCTGAAACAAATAATACTTAACTTGATGATAGTTCATTATATACCATTTTTTAAAACATTACCATCTTAGACATTTTTATTAAGATCTTAAAGACATCTTAAAAATATGTTGAATTTGCATTATACCTCTGATATTTGCAGAGAGTTAGCTTAAATAATGGTGAACCTGAGATTATAGGATCTGTAAAACCTGAAAAAAAGAATCCTTAACTTAATCATAGTTTATCATATATCATTATTTAGAACATTACCATCTTATACTTTTATTAATAAGATCTTAAAAATTACTTTAAAATATTAGAATTTTTGGTATACCTCTGATTTTTTGCAGAGTTATTCACATGAACTGACTTCAAAATCTCCATGGACCCCTCTGACATTCCAGAACGGCTTTATATACATAGATTAGCATGCGCAACGTTGACAGCCACATATTTAAAATGCTCCATTAGCCAGCGGTTTTTTGCGACCATTTGAGCTAAGCGTTCAATTATTGCTATATGTCGAGGCTGCGGATAGGGGCTGCATACCAATGAGATGGCTGAACACCGCTTTCATCTGTGATGAAATTGTTGGGCTCGAGCCGCAAGCTTCAACGGGTTCGGATATATCCTTAAGCCAGAAAACCAAAATTACCGCAGCAACCGCAAGCCACCAAAATATGGGTTAGCACATCGCCATCCCCATTCCCATCCCCCAATTTCAGTCTCCAAAACCCCGAATACAAACCCCACCTCAAGGCAAACAAACATCAGAGATGACAAGCCGGCTCGAAGCAGTAAATTAAAATTGACACCTGATGCTGACACAATTTGAGGGGCCCGTCGAAGGTCGACTTGGGTTTACGTTTACTTCACTCCCGGCGCTAATGAGGCCCGAAACCAAAGTGCGTCAACAGTTCGGTTCAGTTGAGTTCCGAGAAGGCTCGGCTCCCGATGGTGATGATGATTTTGATGACATTCGAATAAGGCGCTCCATTTACCAGTGCACCTCCCACCATTTGCCTCCCCATTAACCACCCGAAAGTCTCGCAAAACCCATTGCTTTCGAGTGCTTAATCATTATTAAATGGCATATGAAGTGCTCGGCTGAACACTTAAGTGAAGAGATTTCGTTGCGAGCGACGTGAATTCATAAGAACATTTAGTTAATGAATTCGGGTCAGGATTTCTGGTCTTGATATGAAAGCCTAGAAGTAATATTATGGTTGAGTGTATTTTCGACTAGTTGTTTTTATAACAGCTAAAACTTAAAGTTTTCTTGAGAATAACGGTTCTTGCAGTCCAGATAATCTTAAAGCACAAGATCTTTCAACAAAAGTTCTTAAGAATACAATGAATTTTTATGAAAAACATTATACTTTAATGTAATAATTATGAATACATACCATCGAAAGATCCAATGTTTTGGTGCTTCCAAAGCATTTCTGAAAATTTTGTGTATCATCAGACATGTGGTTGATATTAGAAAGTTGAGTTTACAAGGACCTAATATCATATAGGCCGTGACCAATGTTTGCATTAAAAAGTTTTTCGGTTATTGGTTTTTGGGGGTTCCATGACCCCATGACCAGATGCTGTGCGAATAAGAAGGCTCTTTTGTTTGACTTTATTGTTGACTTGGTTAAATGTGGCTAAATGGCCGTAAATGACCAGCAACAGGCTTTCTAAACTTCTCGGCCAGGATGTTTCGTGTGTGTTTGGGCAAAGGGTAGCAAACATAGAAGGGTTAAAAGTTTAAGCAGTGCGTGATTCCTGGGTTCCAGGATTCAGACTCCCCCGTGCGAAAACTTTCTGCATATGTTTGGAAGCTGTCCGCCGGCAGATTACCGCAAATTTTGCGCTCGAATAATCGCCGGGGAAAGGATTGCGTGCGAAAGAGATGGGTATGGAGTCAGGATGAGACGGGTGTACCCAGCATCCACTTTCATTATAAAATCTGACAGCCCGTAAGAAACTTCTTGTGGCTGCCTTTGTACGGAAAACGCATCGAAATGTAAGCATAGTGCACAGAAAAAATATTCGGATTACCTAAAACTCCGGGTATTCGGGGATTATGCGAAGTTGCGAAACATAAATTTAGTCAATTTTGGTATTTAGGTTTTTATTGAAAGATACTTATGGTTAGATCATATGATGTTATGTGTATCTTTCGGAACTAAACTCGTAATCTAATTTGGAAACATTTTATATTAATAAAAGTTAAATTAAAAAATAAAACAATAATTTATTTATTTAAATAATTTATTTTAAAACTATAAGTAATAAGATATGATGTGTTTATAATAACTTTATTATTTTGAGCTTTAAAATAAAGTATTGTTCAAATTTTTAGGCTTTTCCAAGTCAAATTATGATCAGAAATTGGTATCCTTTTTAGAACATCTGTATCTTTAAAATTAATATATAATTTCTGGTTAAGATTGGATTTGTTATCAATAAAAAGAAAATCTACCCTGAATTCCTAGAGAAATTATTTACAGTTTAGTGGTGAAAAAGAGGGGACTAAAGCTGAGATGAGCAGCTACAACAAAGCGGAAATACCTTATTACAACAAAAAGTCGTTGGGATCTTATTCTGTTGCCTTTTCTTCCTCTTTTGCTTCCTTTACCGCCATTGCGTTGGAATTATGCGGCATTGTCTAAAAATGAGTTTTCGTTGCTTGTTGCTATTTTTACGTTTCATCGAACAAAAGCAAAGTACCTTGCCGTAGCAACAACAACAACAGCTAGAATGGAGAGTAATAACAAAAACAGGACGATGAGCAGTAAGGACACGAACGGGAACAAAGAGCTGAAAGCTGGCAAACATGAAGCATTAAGCGAGCTTCGGCTGCAAAGGATCTGGAAGAGGAAGCGGGACGAAAGGGAAGACAAGCCACAAAACACTCAGCGAAGGTAGCAGCCCAACGAACCATCACTGCGTCAGTGCATCCTGGGCCCTCCCATCCCTCCCTTTCTTCCCAGGTCATCAGTGCATCCTCATCCCAGTAACCATCCTTGAAGAACCCCCATATCACATAGCAGTACGTAGTTGCAGGGAGCGCAATACGCACGCATTCGTGACGTGTAATGCTCGGCAGATGCCAGGCGACAAAAGGTGTCGAGGGTGAGGTGATTCTTCAGGTAAGGTTATTAGGAACCATTTTAATAATAAGCTGGTTATTATATTTCAACAAATATTTTGAAATGTTAGATCTCTATAGGGAAATTCGGAAAATTTTAAAGTTAATTATTATAAAAGACATGATATAATCCCTAAAAGCGACATATATTTTTTAAATTTCTACACAGAGAAAGTTCTGACGTTCTCATCTCATTTAAAAATGTTTTTAAGAATAGAACGACATTTTTAAAGTTGAATATGTTTTCATTTTGCTCGAATCAAATTGAATTTGTGGTGTTTACATTGTATATCTCAACAAATAAACTAGTAGTTAGTTAACTAGTTAATAAACTAAATTTAACTATTCTCTTCTCACCATTTCGTTCTAATATTGAGAACATTATTACAAAAATGTTCTTAAACGGTTTTTAAGAACGAATGTTCTCAATTCAAAAACAATGTATTTGAATAATTCTCTCTGTGTAGTACAATTAAGGCTTAATATGTAAATTTGAGTTTATTAACAATATCTATTAAGACAAAATGTTTATGCTTATACTGTATTTCCTTAAAATAATTAGTTTATGTCATTTTAATAATTAAAAATCAAATACTACACGGCTTTAAATTATATAAAGACAGTAAGGGAAATAAAGGCTTTTAAACCAAGCTTTCCAACTATTTCAAACATTATGTTTCTCTTCATTTAATTTGTGTCGCCTGTTGAAAGTTTTTTGCGCTCGCCAAAGAAATGCGTCCGCCTTTGTAGTTATGTGCATGATGAAGAAGCGAGCTTTTTTTACCATCCTACCAATCTCAACCCCCAGAATGGTATTCCAACCCCCTCAGAAATGCGGGCTGCTGGCAGTCGTCGCATTAAGTGAAGCACGCGGCATGTTGGATCAAAATGAAGTGCTGACAACGCAATGCTGGCAATGTCCTGGAGGACGAGGACCAGGACATCTGGAGATGGAGTCGGATTGAGGTGAGGTGAGGTGTGCCAGGTAAGCGTCTTAGCCCAGACCGCAGTCCTAAACAAAGGCTAGCGATTTGGAATGAGGTGGCAATGTGGCAGGTCCTGCTGCTCCGCTCGATGGCTGCCACTTCAATGGCTCTACGTCTCCATATCCTTGTACCCTTCATCCTTCTTCCTTTTTCCTGTTTCATCCCCATCTGGCACCTACTCTTCAGCTCCAACGGGTTGTTTAATTTACGCGCTGCTATTATTTTAATCTTTTGCGCTACACACAGCGTGAAATGACTTTCACCTGGCCCCGAGCTCCGGCTTCAAAGATATAGAAGCTATAGCTCCGGCTTCAGCTCCAAGTTGGGGTGGCCAGCGCCCAGAGGCGTCTTGGTCCAAAGTATTTAGCACCGCAAACAGGCATATACACACACAGCCATGGTTGAATTTATAGCAGCATAAAGTCGATCCATTAATTTGGTTTATGGGCAGGCATTTTACCATATACTTAATAATTCACCACCCCTATTTGGTGTTTAATGAATAGTGGTCAAATAACTATAACTTAAAGTACAGTGTTCTATATTAAAAATTAATTATTTAGTTGCTAGCTTTAATTTTGTTTTATGGAATTTAAATAAATAAAGTAAATGATAAATAATATACCTTTATGATCCTAAATACATATTTCACGGTACTCCCTTTTTTCAAAAAAATTGTATATAATATTTGCAACTTTTTAGATCTAGTTCAAAAAAGTTGTTTTTTTCTGTATATAAACCATTTCAAAACAAGGAAGAACGCTATAGTCGAGTACCTCGACTATCAGATACCCGTTACTCAGCTATATGGAGATATGCAAGCAGCAAAGCGAGATTAAAATGCGCCACCTACCGGCGGTATACAGATTTAAGCGTTATGGGCGTTAGAGTGGGCGTGGCAAATTTTTTTTTGGATCAATCGATAGGTATCGACGAGACCAATACATTTCAGTTAAAATTTTTTATCTAGCATGAAAATTGTGGGCGTCACAGGTTTTCGCGGTTTGTGGGCGTTAAAGTGGGCGTGGCAAACTTTTTTTTGGGTCAATCGATAGGTATTGATGAGAACAATACATTTCAGTTAAAATTTTTATTCTAGCATCAAAACTGTAGGAGCCACAGTTTTTGGCGGTTTGTGGGCGTTAGAGTGGGCGTGGCACTGTGCCGAAACAAACTTGCGCTGCGTAAGAAGCTCAGGAATCTGCACGCCAAATCTCAATAGCCTAGCTCCCATAGTTTCCGAGATCTCAGCGTTCATCCGGACGGACAGACAGACGGACAGACGGACAGACGGACAGACGGACATGGCTAGATCGACTCGGCTAGTGATCCTGATCAAGAATATATACACTTTGTGGGGTCGGAAACGCTTCCTTCTGCCTGTTACATACTTTCCGACGAATCTAGTATACCCTTTTACTCTACGAGTAACGGGTATAAATATCTTTGTTCATTTGTTATACGATGTACTTCATTAAAAGATCTTAAGAACCCCGTTAAGTTTTCAGAAGTAAAAATATATTTGTTTAGTAACATTCTTGGAAATGATATGTTGGAACAGAAAATGAACAGACATCAATCAGAATTCCTAGACGTTTTACCTCTGCTGTGACCATACCTTAGCCTTGTGCACCTGTAACTTTTTGTCCAGGTAAGATAGGGGGCGTTCGGGCCAAAAGACAACTGGGGGCGTGGCAGATGGGGCAGACGGACTGGGGGCTGCCGGAAGCTGCTGTCAGCTGGGTTGGCCTCAAGGTGCTGCAGGATGTGTTCTCGCCACCCATCTTCGGCATTTACCATTGCTTTTTATTGTTTTATGTGGCTGTCTCTTGGAGGAGTGAAGGAGTGGCAGAGTCCCTGCTCCGCTTGCCACTTCAAGGTGCAAAATGTACGACGTGCGTCGTTCCGTACATCATCGCATGCTTTGTGCTCTCAGCACTGAAATCTTTTACAATCAACATGAAGGAGGAGCAAAGCAATTTTGTAGCCGAAAAAAAGAAGAGGAAAGCAAAAAAATAAAGAACAGACAGTCGAACGGAAGCGAAAGCAGAAATGACGGGCTGAAAAGCGGGGTAAAACCGGAGCGAACATAATGCCTCAAATCATTTTCATTTCTTGCATGCGCTTGTCTGCACAGAACTGCCTCAAGATGAGGTCCTGGATCCTTGGCTCCTTGGCACCTCAGCTCCGTGTAGAATGCTCCATTTACGCGCTTTTCCCCGCCAACTTCCTCGGCAGTTTGTGGGCGTTTTTACGGCACCGGCACTCAAAGCGCTTAAGCTGGTAGTGAGCTATCCCCTCGCCTCCGCCTCTGTAACCTCTCTCAACATTACAATATTTTAAAAGATTTACTGACCATGTATTTTCAGCACAGCCAGCAAAGTGCAGAAAGCTGTAAAATATTGCGTATACGCCAAAGTGCCACCTGAGAAGCGCAGCACAAAGTCAAATCTAACAAAGCATGGCTAAGCGTTTGCCGGGGACTTAAACGGGGAGGGAGTGCCAAAAAGAGTTGAAATTAAAGTTTTAACTCTTAAGAATTCATGGGACAGCAACTCCATTTGGAGCAGGTTCTTTTCAGTTGCTATTCAGGCAATAAGCCAGCTTGGGAAAATATGCAAAGTAAAAGTATTATTACCAAGGAAAATGTTTTATTGTAGTCTTTTATGATAAAAATCCCAAGAACCTTCTTGTTTAATACTTGTGTTCTTATGTAACATCTTACAAATATATTCAATTTAATATTCTCAATGCAAATTGTAGTTTAAAATGTAAAATTATACTCAATTATTTGTAATAGTAACAAGATAGACCACAATATTTTTTGTATGATGGATTAAAGTAAAAATGTAAGTAAAATAATAATAATATTATTATAATCTCACAAGTATTGTTATTTTCTAAGAATATGAATTATGATAAGCAGTACAAAAAAAATCATTAAAAACAAATCGCTTAATAGCTTGTTGGTTTACTATTAAATTTACTTATATACAGAAGTTTCTTAAGAATTTATTAAGGTTTATGAATCAAGTGTCTAGTTAAGCAAATTATTCCCTTGTAGAATTTTACAATTACTCTTACCTCCCAAGTCCTTATTTATTCTGCCAATTAAGGAAACATATTTTTTTGTGCCTTTTCCTTGAGAAAAAAACCATAAAGTACGATTTCCCAGATGCAGCAGCAGCCAAAGCTGCTTAGGAGCCAAAATAAATAGAATTTTAAAATAAATTGGGACTGGCAACTTATTTGGCGGCGACAACTAAGACCGAGGAGCAGTGCCAACACTTTTGTTCCAAACTTGGCCGGCATAACTCACCCGAGAGGCAGGAGATGCGAATGGAGATGGAGATGGTGAGGAGATGCATCTTGGTTTGGAGTCGGAGACGGAGATGGAGCCACCGCACCACCAGCCGCGCAACAAATGGTGCACATTACAAGGGCCCAAAGCTACTTTGCCAACGCCAAAGGAGCTGCCACGTAGCGACTCACATATTTTATTATCTGCAACGCCACCAGGGGCGTGGAAAAGGGGGGCAAGTCCTGTGGAAACCAGGACCTTGTGTGCAACAAGGCGCACAACTTAAGCGGCGAAGACAAATTTTTATTGCCACAAGCCCAAGTCGATTTCGATTATTGACTGCAGGCCAAACTGTTGCACAAGGAGCAGCCCCAGGAGCAGACAAAAAAAAAGGGGGACTCCCCATTCTCCATCTCCATTCCCAATCGGATCCTTTCCGGCTGCCAACTTGTGTCTGTGGCTGCTGTCGCCGTCGCTCATTTGAGTCACATTTTATTATTTTCGTGCATTTATCGTATGCTCGGTGGCGTTTTATTTTATTAGCGTGACATTTCAATTGATAGACCCTCGGGGGCCGTACTTAACCGACTCAATTTGATTTTGCAACCGAAATGTGCGAATGGGATTGCCATATTTGAGTGTGTTTGAATGGAGTGGTTACAACTTGGATTCAATTTTTCTGACTTGGATTATCTCATTACAGAATCCGGATAAGGTGGGCTACAATCTGAGTTAAATAAGAAAAGTTAAGGTGATGTGAAGTACATATTGTATATGGTAGGATTGGTGATAATTCAATCAGTTGCGGTAATTTTGAAACTGTGAAATATTACTTTAGCTTACCAAAAAATAGGAACGGTCCGTTTTAGTAAGAACAATGTTCGCATGGTATAATAATTTTATAAAAATAAGTTATAAAAATTATACACAAGAAAGCAAAGATCGAAAAATTTATAATCGCGGGTGACTAAGAAATTTTGTTATATTAATTGCCGAATTGGTCACACTGCAAAACTCAACGATTGATGTTTTTAAAACAGGGTGGCAACGCTTTTACTGTCATTGTGAATTGTCAAACTCCGATGTGATTTTCCTCATTTTTCATTAACGCTTATACTTTGCACGAGACAATATACTATTCAAGGAGTTTTTTAGTAAAATAAAACGAGAAAACTAACATAAAAAAGTTCGCTTATCGAATTGAATAAAAAAAACAACTATGGTGTACACCGGTTTCGAAAGCTACGGATTACAAAATGCTGGGGAAACTGGTTAGTTTTTCGGGTAAAATTAGTGGCTAAATTTCTGGAACTTTCTCCCCAAACAGAATGGGTGCAATATGGCGAACCCAACGACTGGGAGCAGAGTCTGGCCGTTTATGATGGAGTGGATTTCATGAGCGGCGATGAGCAGGAGATGCCCTCCTTGAACCGGGTGATGAGCCTCATTGATTACGACCTGGCCATGAAGCATCCACTGGAGCGCACTTGGACTCTTTGGCACTGGGAGAACGATCGCACCAAGAGCTGGACCGAAATGCTCAGCGATGTGACCAGTTTCAATACTGTGGAGGACTTCTTTAGGTCTGCCACATAGAGTATTTGTATACCTGTATCTAACTTTTATACCATTTCCCTGCTCCAGTGTGTACTACTTTGTCAAGCCGCCATCGGATCTGAAGATCTTCAACGACTATATGGTCTTTAAGGAAGGTGTACGGTGAGTTTGGCTCTCTTTAGTCACATCTTGAAGGCTCCCAAATGTATTCCCCTTGCAGTCCCATGTGGGAGGATGATGTTAACAAGGAGGGCGGTCGTTGGATTATGCTCTTAGACAAGGCCTCCAAGGGCTTTATAGATAAGTTGTGGCACGATTTGGTAAGACATTTATGGCCATACCATCAAATTAAGACGAATGTTTTATGTATATATATTTCCTTTTAGCTTTTGTGCATGATTGGGGAGTGCTTCCAATTTTCTGATGAGATATGTGGAGTGGTCATCAACGTGCGCAATAAGGCTAATAAGTTGTGTGGGTATAAGATGACTTTCCCTTTTATTGGTTATTATGACAAGTATCTTTTGCTTACAGCCCTTTGGACAAAGGATTCGCGTAATTCCCGTGCCATCCTGTCCATTGGCACCCAGATGAAGGAGCTGCTGCAGCTGGGCGAACTGGAGCTCCAGTACCAGCTGCACACGGATGCCATGGTGCAGCATGGACCCAACGTGCATTCCATATACAAATTGTAGACCCCCAAATAGCCAAGGCCATCGTAAATGCCCAGTTCTTGGCCAGAAATGAGCATCTACGATCGTACAACGCATATGCCAAAAACATTTGTCAAAACTCACATTTTATCCACGCACCAATGCTTTTTGAGATGAACAGCGGTTGTCGCATGAATAAAGCATTGCATAGAGAAATAGAAATATAAACTAGTTGGCCACGTACCGTGTGGTGATGGTGTTGTCCTCGGGCAAGTGGAGTCGCCTCACGTATTCCCCGGCGGAGTGGGAACCACTCGCCCCCCTACGATTATCCTTGGCGTCATAATTTTGGACGACTCGTCCCCATCCTTTAACGGCTGCCATGTCGCGGCAAGTGCTTATGTGTGTGCCTGGTCCTTTTCCCGGTTTAGGGCTTTTGTTTGTGCTGCTGCTGCGCATAGCAAATTGTGACCAATTTATGGAAATATGCTGGGGACGCATTCCCTCCAGTGGTAACAGAGTGGTGCTCTCTTGGCATTTTTTCAGGATCTTGGCTTTTTTATGGGTTAGAGATCGGAATGAGCTAAAATATATTTGTTTCTATTATAGTTTTTGATAATACAAAACCTTAAATCAAATATATTTCGGTTCTTATTGAAAGGCATTGAGTGTGAGGCAAAGCTTATAAATATAAACCATTGGATAGTTAGAAAAGCATGTCTTAAATAAGCTTCTTAACTGTAAGGGCTGATTTCTCAATGTCTTGTTATTTCTTGTGAGGCTTTTATGCTGTTTCGGAAGAATTTAGTATTTCAATATGAAATGAGGTTTTATATGACTGAAAAATCTAATCTATAAATACATATTTTTTTAGTAAGTATTGGTTGGAGATATGTGGATAAATTCACCTAGTTTTAAGGGCAGTTCAATCGGTTGGTACTATGTTGATGGTACATATTAAAATATATTCGTTTTGGATATCTGTCCTGTCAGCACTGTTGTCCAACCGACTCGTATGATTTGATTGCTGTAATTTGTAAGGATTTTGCTTTTATTGTTTTATTGAATTATGAAGTGGCAGCCACCAAATGACTGGAACGTGATACACTGTACACCGGGTTATATGACAGTGCCAATGGCAGCGTATCCACGACATCCTGTCCACCCTTCGAATCCTGTTTTTGATACGAGCAGGATTCCTTGGCGCAAATGAATGCATGCAGTTATTCCGTTCGTAACGTGAATTGATATGCCAACACGTACGCGGATTTCGAGGAGGAGCCGTGGCTGGGATCTGGATCTTTGGAGGACAGGTAACAACCTGGAATATGGCAAATAGTTTAACTCGAGTTTAGCACTTAAAGCGCAATTTAATAACCGCTATAAAAGGTTTTCCTTGCGCAGAAAAAAAAAACAAAAGCCAGCTGGGAGTGCTTTTTCCTTTGGCAACTGGAAAAGCAAATAGGGGAAAACTGGACAAACACAAACAGAGAATATCCGGCAAAGCGCAAAGGGCAGCCAACTAATGTTGTAGTTTTTTCCCCATATTAAATGAAATGCAAGCTTAATTGAAAAACGCTGACTTTGCTGCACAGGAAACAATTTGAAAAGGGGTATTGTAAAAGCAATATTCAAAAAAAAAAAATATCTGATTTATACATATTATAAATAAAATGTTAATGCTTTGAAAAATACAACTGGAAAGTGAAATAAATCATTATAAATGTATCTAAGATGATTATATTTTTTTATCTTAACTTAATTGAGTCTATCTTTTCAAGAATTTTAAAAGGAGGTATATAACATTTTCTTTCGGTGCTTTTTTTCCGGTTCCTGTTTTGCTGCTCTCCTGTTGCTGCCTTAAGGACAACGTTGCAGCCTGTTGCAATTTTAATTAAACAAAAAGCGTAAAATGTTTGACCATTTCCACCGATCCGTATCATGCTTCTTTTGCCAATGTTGGGGGTCCCAATTGTCTTTGGCACGTAAATTTTCTTTGCCAACAAGCACGAAATTGTTTGTCCTCTCGCTGGTGTCCTGTGTCCTGGTGTCCAGAGTCCTGGGGTCCTGGTATCCCTTTTGCGCTGCAAAACAAATTAATTGTCTGTTTTTCACATAAACTTTTGTCGGTCTCCAGTTCCCAGTTCCGAGTTCCTAGGGCCCAACTGCCCAGTTCTATCTTCTCCAGCTTGAGGTCCTGCGGTTGTCCTCGTCGCGTTTGTCCAATTTTCAGCGCTCTGTTTGTTGCGTAAATTGCGGCTGTTCTGGTTGTAATGTTTGTAATGGCCACTCCCCCTACTTTCTGCCAAAATTTTGCCCACCGACCCACTTGAATTTCACTTGGCCGTCGCTTAGCTCATTTGCTGCACATCACTTTTGGCGGGGGGTTCCGTTTTCATTTTTGTCATAATTCAAATGTAATTTCCCAGGCACTCACACACTCACTCCCCCCACTTTCCTCACCCCTCTTCCTGTCACTCATAATTATTTTTTGATTAAAGATGCCACCTCCCCTCAAAAGACATCGCTTTTCTTTTGTGCACTACTTTGTGGGGGAAAATTGTGGAGCTCAACAAAAAAAGGGAAATGTTGATAAAAGCACTTGAATTTAAATTTCAATTTAATTTAAGTTTGAAAATATATTGTTCTAACAAAATGAAGTGATTGATGATGGGGGGGAACTTGCATCAGGATTTTTTAGAACCCTCCCTTTTTAATATATTTTTATGATGATTGAAGAAATATCTTGTTTTCCTCTTCCGAGTCAGAAAATGATTTTCTCCTACAGCTGCGGGCTTCATTTTCAGTTTATTTATTGGCAATAAATACGCAAGAACTTTGAGTGGAAAAAGAGAGAGCTGGGAATGCAATTAAAATAACGAAAAGTGGAAAATGCAATAAACACTTTTCGATTGCCAATCGCAGTGAATTAACCGGATTAACTCATCGATGGATGCAGTAAATCTGTTTGCCACTTTCCCAGGCATATGACAAATTTCGCATCTCCGAAATGCAATTAAAGGAACTTGATTTGAAGCAGATTAAATCGAAACAATTCTGGAAGGACCAGTACTAAATGTATGTGTGTGTATTTTGTTGGCAGTTGTAGGCGATTTGCATTTTAAAATAATGACTACATAAAAAACTAGTTAAAAGTTGACAACAATGAAATGTCAAAAGCGCTGGAAAACTTTATGCTCCATCCCCGAGACTCGACTCGGGTAAACTTTTTGTGTCTTTCCGTTTAATGCGACTCCACCGCCCCACCCCCCAGAAGACCCACCTATTTTCCGAACCCAAAACCATCCTTTTTTGCCAGCTCTGCGAAAGCCTTTTACCCCTTTTGTTTTGCCCGAACAATAACAGCAAATTTTTCTAAAATTTCATGTCGCCCACCGCCCCCTTCTGACTGCCACGCCCCCGAGCTAAGCCCAGCCCAAGCTATTTGCAATTTAACTTTTACCCCCTCATAAACAAGGGGGGGGGGGGGTTTCCTAGGGGGGTGCAAGTCAAAACAGGGACACGTAGCCCAACTCGGCTTTAGTTTTTAGTTGGCTTTTATTAACTTTTGTCTCTGTCTGTGTTTCCCTGTGTGTATTTTGTATCTGTGTGAGTCCTCCTCCAACATTTCCACTTGTTTTTCATTTTTTTTTTGGCATTAAAGTTGCACAATTACCGAGATTTGACACTAAGACGATGGCGGGGCAAATAGGGGATTCCCACAAACTGCTCGACCAATTTACAGTAGTGCTCAAATTTCAAAAAATCAACAAGGGAAGCCACTCCTTGGGGTTGTTTTCCATGTATTTCTCCACACATCCACCCATCCATCCATCGTTCTGGTCAATTTAACTTTGCAGGCTTAGGACTTCCAGAGGTGCTGCTTTTCCTCTTCAAAGCCGTATCGGTGTTCCTTACCTCGACCAGGGACTGATAGAAGCAAACGGGCGGCGGCGAGATGTGGATGTGCCAGAAGAAGGCGTTGACAAACTCGCTGGTGATCGAATTCCGGAGCACTGCATCCGCCAGCATGGCGTAGATGCCTCTGGCCCGCAGCTGCTGCTTCCGGATGGCCATCAGCCTACTGTTCCGGGTGGCCTTGTCGCCCCTGGTGTTCCTGGCCACCGCCTGGTACATGGTCCCGAACAGCAGGTGGAACAGGGTCTAAATGGGGAAGGGAAATATTAAAAAAAACATTAATAACGACCAATAAAAATACATAATTAGAGACATTCCAAGCAAAATATTACATAATTATAATTCACACAATGTTGGAGTATATTCAAAAACAAGAAAAGAGTATGATCAAGAACATTTTATCATACATATAAGATATTAAAAGCTCGAAAATCGATTTAAGGGTAAGCACTTGTATATATTCTTCAAGTGCAGACCACTTAGTAGGCCTTAGTCAATATATCATCCCTTAAGATTTTTCCCACACTGAAAGGAGGGTTGACATGCGGGATTCAGTTGATGTCTTTTAATTTTTAATTGTGTTAACTTGCTATATACAATATAGATTCCGAAAAATACTCATCTACTCACCGTGACGGTCAAGTCGGCGATGCTCATGCGCTGAAAGTCCAGTCCGCGCTCCTCGACGGCCATGACGAAGGCGAACTTTACGGAGGCGGGCATGGCGAAGCAGTAGCACTCCTGGGCGCTAAGCAGGCGGAAAAGCATGATCATGCAGTTCAAAGCGATGAGGCAGTCCCCCGGCGAAGAGTCCTGCAACTTGGGCACCAGGACGGCCCACTCGGCTGGATTGGGATCGCCATCGACGCTCAACAGTCCATAGGCGATCCAACGATTACCAATAAATTCCCCGAAATATGGCGGCAGAGTCATCTCGGCACCATCGAATTCCACGGCCAGGACAAAGTCGAAACGGATGAAACGCTGCCGGTTGCTGTGGCGCTCCATGGCCACCACTTGGTGGACGAAGGGCACCTGGTTGAAGCTCAGCACCGAGTACTTCAGATCGTAGATCCTCTTGGTGCATGAGGAGGTAACACTCTTAAGTCTGGATATGGCCACCTGGAGTTCCCGCTGGAGGAGGAGGTTCATGCTCTGGGCATTCACCGCATTGCCGAAGAAGAACGGGTGACGATAGTTGGCCCTGGTGAATCCCACACTGCGTCGCTCCTCATCGTAACTGGGCACCACTGCCACCGGCAGGCGGATGGGCAGGAAGATGTCGAAGTTCA